CCCTCATCCTTCCCCATCTTACTAATAACCACGGGGGCGTGGAGGGTTCCAAATACCACTAGCAATGGTTCTTGTGGCGTAAGTAGGGGTGGCGACCCATTTATAATCGTTCTAATGAAAAATCAACAAGTAAGCATTCTGGGCGGTCGTTTTAATTTGTGTGGTGTTCGCTTCTTTTGGCCTAAGATATTATGCTTATTTTGATATTAGTGCGGTATGGTATTTTTGTTGTTGAAAGATTTTATCGTTTTACCTCTAATCTGATAAGTTGCGAGTTTTTTCCTTGGGCCAATTAAGTTCCTGGCTTGATTGATGTGTTTAATTTTCGATGGAATTCTCCTTGGTTGTATTTTGATGCTTGCTTTAGACCGTCATCATACTTCCTTTTTTTCTGAATAGCGTTCACCGTTAATTGTATAGCTTGCATCTTTTTAAAAGTAATTGTCATTATTGTAACAATTACTCTTTAATATCCTTTTCACTGCTGGGATAAGCAGATTCCAAAAAAATACCTATTTTCTTCCTTCTTATTTCGCACTTGTGGTTTAATTATCATTGATAGCTTTAGATTTTGTTATGAATTTTTTTGTAACTAGAGCTCTATGTTTACATTAAGCTCAATAAGGGGAAACTTAGTTTCCTGTGAGTCTACAAATACTTTGCTAATCAGTAATGTAGTTTCTCCAATGTCATCAGAAGATATTCGACATCTCGTGCCGACTGCACGTAGATGGTATTATATCTCGAACGTCATGCAAACTGATTTTGTTGCTGAATTTGAGACAAAAATATCCTCTAGGAAGGCATTTGAACAAATCAAAGGAGTTTCGTACTTAGGTCATCCACTAGAAGTCACCTTTGTAAATTATAGGTTCTCCTCTACAAAGCTTTCCAATAATTGCACGAAAAAAACACCACATTTATTTTTTTCTTTACCAACAACTGAGGAATTCGGCCATCATTTGGAGGAAGCAAGAAATTTAATCGGCTCATTATCCCCTATACCACCTACTAAACAGCGCTGGGTTGATTTTACTGTGTAACTAATTATTTGATGCACAACAATAGATATAAATTCCTTTATTTATCTAATTGAATGACTGTGAAAAATCTATATTTTTTAAAATTTGGCTATCAAATTATTACTGTCGAAATCGATTTCTAAAACTATATTCTTATGAACCAATGACCCACCTTCAACTAATGTTAGTACCATTGTTTGTACTTTTCTATTGCGCTTTTACTGTCATTATTCTTTGCAAGAAGGAAGTTTTTACTTCGTATTCATGAAAGATTATTAATCTTATATAGAAACACAGTGAATCTCGTGGATTTTTTGATGACACTTTCTTTTGAATGATAAAAAATATATATTCATTTTTACGAAAAACTTTCCATTACTATTTCAAGTGAAATTACCAACGAAAAAAATGTTTGACTTGTTTCTTTTAAAGATGAAACTAACTTTATCACACAAGTGGAGTTAGAAGAGAGTTCTTTTGAACTTCAGGCATGATCTCGGTCCATGTTTTCATAACACAAATGAATACAAAAGAGAATAATTCAAGCGGTTTGAGATTCTTTATTTGTGTGAAATCTAAGAAGTATTTTTTTAAAGCTTGTATTTACGATTCCTTTACTATATTGTATTCCCCACTAAATGGTAAGTTTTGTGATGGTGAAGATTTGGGTGATTCAAATTTAAATGCTCGATAAAAAAATAAGCTTTTGGTCTCAGTGCACAATAGTGATTGTAACCAAACACTTTACTAATTTGAGATTTATCTATTTGATCACTTCTTGAATTTTTTAATCAAATTGCCTATTATGTGTATTCTTATAGTTATTTATATCATAGGTACTGTTTTTCCAGGTATGTTTTACGCTACTCTGGCTTCACTAAGTGAAGCAGTAAATTCTTAGACAAAATTATTGTCTTAGGCAAATTTACATTTTATTACCTAAAGCATCATTAAGGGGCAAATCATCCTTATGTATGCTATTCAGTGATTTTCCTGTGTGTTCCTTTCTTAAGATTTCGTTGCCTTTTTCTATGATTTCCTAAGGTCCCATGTCTACGTCGGTGCCTTCAGATTAGCTGAAAAATTTACTAGTTTATGAACTCATAGTTCTTTTTTCCATGTTAGTATTTTTTTCTGGTTTATTTCATAGCGTAATCTGTTGTTAATCCTATCTTCGTTAAGAACAAAAGGGGTTTCCTATGCCAAAAATTCAACCTTTGCTTCTTCAACTAAAGTTCTATTGTTAGCAAATTCAGGATATGATGTTATAATATCGATAAGAAATATCATCATTTATAGGAGTTTCCTCAAAAAAAAATATGGGTTTTATTCCCATTATATCGTCCTCCTACTTGATGGGTAATTCTGGTATGTTTCCTCCCTTATTATGGTGGGTACGTTTTTTTTCTGTTTTTACTTTTAAATTATTGGCATTTATATTTGAAACTTGGACATTTTTTTCCAAGATTGATTTTGTGTTTCGAGTTTGATATGTCCTTGAAAAGTGTTTTTTGACAAGCTTATCTTCAAATATCTTTTTGGTATAGCGTGATTGTTATATATATTTTTAATAACTTCAATATACTTTCTTTCCCAAGGAAATCGTAGTGTCTTTGACATATTCACTTTTCTAGAATTGCCAGTTATATTTTCGAAGTTATGAGAAATTATTAAATTTAGGGTATCCTTTTCGTCGATTAAAATTCATAATAAACTGGAATATCAACTGGTTTAAAAGCATCAGGGGTGTATTTTTTGGGTAGAATCTTTGTTCGTTCAGTGTCTTTTATTTTTGCTGCAATTTGTGTTGAGTATTCTGCATGAGACATACTTGTGCTATATGCTACTACTTTTAAGTTTAATTGCAATCTACTTAAGAAGTGTCAATTTGTACCATTACAAATTGCCTAGTTTTCATTTTTTAAATTCGAAAATTGAGTGTTTCAAGTAGTTCTATATTAATGATATTAGTGATTTAATAATACGCTTTTTTCTCTTGTATCTATTATTATTATTACTTGGCCTCATATAGTTAGTTTTTGTTTTGCTTATATATACATTTAACATATAACGCGTTAAATGGCAATCGAATATTTGACTACAAACGAGAAGCAACTTCTCTTGGATCTGCTTTTCGATGCCACATCATCATTTGCAGTTGCAGAGAAGAAGTTCAAGGAAATGATCCCACTGTCCCGTTATCATGCAGTTGATTGTGAGCTGAAACAACTTTGTAAGAATTTCATTGCATCTTTAGATGGGGTAGCGCTAATCATGTCGATATATCTGGCAGATTTGATGCGTAGAACTAGCGATCTTTCTGCCAAGGCTCTTTTCTTTGACATCTTTATAGATCTTGAACGTGCCATTAGACGGGACATTTTTTGCGCTGAGAAATATAAATATTCTTCTAAAGACGTAAAGGAACCCAAGAAAAGTACCGAGGCAACTTACGCGGAGGAGTATCGAATTCATTTGGTGGGAAAAGTGTTTGCTTTTCAGTTACTTATGGGATCAGTGTCTGGCGACGAAAAAGCTAGTACGTATGTTTCGAAAAAGCAAGAAGAAATTGATAGCCTGCTTGATTCGTGCAGTAAATCAAGTATTCTCATAAAGGAGTTTCTGGCAGATGTTGCACACTCTTGGGGATCCGAAAAAGAGAAGCGGCACTGTAGCACCACACTGAAATTTGCCACCTCTTTCAACCTACAGCAGGGTGAACGTACAGTGCTCTTGGCGAATCTGATCACGCCTAAAATTGCATCACTTCCTATATTAACAGGTGAGCTGCAACTTCTGTTCCCCGGGCATACGTCAATGCTTTTTGTTGAAAATTCAATGCCAGGTGTGGTATCGGAGAACACTAAAAAAGAGCTTGAAGCTCTGGCAAAAACCAGCATTTCTAAATCTGATCAAGACAAGCTTCTACAGTCCCTTACCGAGCAAGAAGCGCGTCACATTGCACTCAATACTTCTCTTTTATGTGACATTGCCGAGAAGAATCCAAGCGTCTGTGCTGCAATTCTAGAGAAGATTCCCCGATCCACACTAAATTTTTCTATCCAGAGTGCACTAAATGGAAACGCACGCCTGGAGAATATTGAAGCCGTTTTACTTCTCATATCTCACTCTTTGGATCAAAAAAGCATTAATATTTTTATAGCGCAGTATCTAAAAGTGCTCAATAATAAGTCTCTTCTATTGGGAAATCGAAACGAAAATGCGAAAAAGTTCATTTCGACGCTTTACGAGTTTGTTGTCAAGGGCTCCAAGGGGAATAAGGGTATTCACATTGCCGAGCTGCTAAAGGGTGAGATTGAACAGCTTATTACTCATACTGATGACTCGGATATTGCCAGAATGTGGGACGAAATAAAAAGTTGAGCTGTGTCCTTTGTACTTTTTTCCAGCATATACATATATATATATATGCCTTAAACGTTTGTAATTTTTAATTCTATTTTATTACGTTTTCTCTCCTATAAGTATAAGATACTTACCGTTAAACGATCTGCATGCTAACATCATTTTGAAGAGGTAAAGTTCTCCATTCTTGGCTTTTGTTTCTTACTCATTATTTTGAAGCAATTGTCTAAATTTGATTTGCATCTTTTCATTTCACTTCAGGTTTGTAGTTTATAAAAAAGAAGACTTCTTGACAAACTTTTGATGCATGCGTCAAAATCGATATAACATCTCAGTAAATTTTTCATTCATTGCCTCACCATGCTTAGACTATTGCACTGTGGATGACACCGAGTTTAAAAATTCAGACAATGGTTCAACTTCACGATTGGTTGTCACTACACATTTTGTAGATCCGAGGGAAGGCTCAAAGATGCAAGCATTTGTGTATAACCGTCAACACTCAATGCGTTCGCTTTATTATGCTATTTGTGAATCAGTTACTCACTCTCGCTGCATCGTCTGTTATACTCTAATGCGAAAAAAAGGAATGTGTTTTAGTCCTTTTGTGGAGAAGATTTTGCTTCCAGACGACAGCATCCCAGAGGTCGTTTTTTATCAATATATTTCACCTTCACTCTCCAAATGTGTTGAGCTGAAGTGGGTAATTGTCAACTTTCTTGTCTTTTTACGAAGTATGAAGCTAGTACCTGGACATTTGCACCTCATAGGAGGGTTTTCTACGTCTCCTACTAAAGAAGAGTTGCTTCAGTATGTTGCTTCTCACCTCACAACTACACATTTTGATATATATTTTTTGAGAAGTTGCCCAGTCACCACCGTCACCGTGACCCACGAGGACGTCACGATTGAAGATGAGTATTGTCCCTCTTCGAATGTCCAACAGGCTGCCATTCTGTTGCCCTTGATTGAACAGGGCGACGTGGTGAGAGTAAGTATTTCTGATGGAGGCGCACAAAGTTGTCGGACCATGCAAGGGGTTATCCAAAGCTCTAGAATCGACAATGGTATGATTTCTTACGACGTCCAGAATGTAGACACTTATGAGGTTCTTTGTGGATTGAATTGTATGCAAGTTATCCCGTTATAAGAAGTAGAACAGATAATCAAAATATTAGTAAAAAGAAACGGATAATTGTTGACACCAGTGAACTATTTGCTGCATTGTGCATCTCTCCCTTTCTTTTTTTTAGATATGGATAATAAGTGGCAACTCCCATTACGTGTGGCCTCTCCCCACACTAAAAAAGACCAGTCGATCATATGGAATACTTCACGCCTGTGCTATGAGCAAAAGCTCTTTGGCCAGGTTACCGATCTTTCGTATAATGCATCAGGTACCATGCTCGGTGCCACCTCAACGAATCAGGTAGCGATTCTTCGTATTCCGTACAGCAACGAAGTCGTTGTAAACGAGCAGACTGGGCGCAAGAACTTTTCGATCTGTTTTCGACAAGATGACAAACTCTATATACAGGCGATCGATCAGCGAGTGGTGGTGAAGTCCCCTGATACAGCATTTGAGAGGCAATTTTCTGGTCATACAAGGGAGGTTCGAGGTGCCATTTTTCTTGACAAGCATAACTTCGTGTCAGCCAGTGATGACACCACTATCAAGCTCTGGGATCTTTTGACGGATGAGGCCCTGGACACGGCTCATGTTCATACTGACTACGTTCGATGCCTGGAAAATTATTCCTCTGGTTGCCTTCTTAGCGGATCTTATGATCATAGTATCAATTTGTGGGATCCACGGGCTGGCCTGTCTAAACCCTTGCAGTCTTCCGGGAAAATACTCGGAGCAGCTGTGGAGGCAATTTGTTTTTTAGAAGACTCTGAGCTAATAGCGTGTGGTTCGGGTGATCAGATTACACTTTTTGATGTTCGTAAGGGGCTCTCCTCGTTTATTTCACATGTTTCTTTTCACACTAAAACAGTGGTCTCGTTAGCGTACTCGCCGGAACACAAGACGCTTCTTTCAGCATCCCTTGATTGTCGTCTTAAAATGTCAGTCCTTATGGGTTCGGAGTTAAAGTCATTATCCACAATGAAGTTTAATGACCCACTGACTGCGGTTGCTATGCAAAATCAGGGCACTGAATTTGCTGTTGGGACCGCCACGGGTGATATTCGAGTTTTCAAACTGGATGAGCAACGAAATGCTGCTGAAGAGAATGATGTATTTGAAAACGTCCAAAAGAAAACGAAGGACAACCTGGGCGTACTGCAAGAGAAAATGAATGCTGTGAGGCACCAACTTAAAACATATCACTATGGAAAAGCTATCAGGACAGCCCTTTATGCACGCCATGCTGATGTTTTGGTTTCAACACTGGAGGAGCTGATTCGACGCGGTGCGTTGCATGTTGCTCTTAGCAACCAGAACGATCGAACAGTGGCACGTATTCTTCGTTTCGCAACCGAATATGTTGACAAACCACACTTTACAGACACTATGCTAGATGTGTTCGAGGTTATATTCGAGATTTATAGTACCATGGTCAGTAAAAGCAATTTTTTTTTCCGAGAGATGAAAATCGCACAAAAAAGGGTAGCCGCCTCACTCGCTACCTTGAAGAGAATGAAAAAAGTTGTAAGCACTATGGAGCTAATTGTTAATGTTGATAATTCATAACTAAGTAGTGCCAATAAATGATATATATATATATATATATATCAGTTGTCGATTAAACATGAATAAAAATAAATATGGGTTCATTAACCTTTACAGTGAATTTACACAAAGTTGTACTCTTTCTGAAATTCTAAAAACATTAATACTTTTTTATTTCACATTATGTTTTTGGATATGTTTTACATATCCAGTCTTCGTTTTTTAAAAGACTTTTATTTGCAAACTTTCCATACGGATAAACCTAACACAACTTATAACTAAAAATGTTTCGTCGTATTTGTGTCAGTAATTTCGCGAAGCAGTTCCAATGTCGTGGATTCGCTGCTTCGAGGCTGCTGCTTAACACGGATTACCAAATGTATCGCACGGCTTGCGTTCGCGAGCCAGCCCCAGAATTTACAGGTAAGGCAGTCGTCAACGGGAGCATCAAGGAAATCAATATCAATGACTTCAAGGGAAAGTACGTTGTTCTTCTTTTCTACCCAATGGATTTTACATTTGTGTGTCCAACTGAAATCATTGCCTTTTCAGAGCGTCATGCCGAATTTGAAAAAATCAACACACAGGTGATCGCTGTGTCGTGTGACTCCGAATATTCTCATCTTGCTTGGATCAATACACCACGCAAGAATGGTGGTCTTGGCGAAATGCGTATTCCTCTGCTTGCTGATAAAACCTTGGAAATTTCTCGTGACTATGGTGTCCTCATTGAGGATATGGGTATATCATTGCGTGGCCTCTTTATTTTGGACAAAAATCACATACTCCGTCATTCCACTATCAACGATCTTTCTGTCGGTCGCAGCGTGGACGAAGCGCTGCGGGTCGTCCAAGCTTTCCAGTACTCCGATGAGCACGGCGATGTGATTCCCTGTGACTGGAAACCGGGTCGGCTCACGATGGATGTCTCAAAGGCAGATGAGTACTTTAAAAATAACATGTAGTCTCATTTTTGTTTCTCGTACTGTTGTTTAGAGATTAATATTGTTCTTAGTAGTAGTTATATGTGTATACACGTTTTTCCTTTTTAACTCTTTGACACATATTGCTATTTAAGTCCATTAATATTGTTTCAGATAAAATGCGTCGATGAAGAAGAAATTTTTGTTTATTTACTGGTAAAGGAACTATCTTCCTCTATTGAATTGTGTTGTCATGATTTCTTATTTATTTTGCATCTTTATTCTTCTTCCTATTCACTAACGTGTGGTATAGAAGCTTCACATATGGCGAACTTAAGTGTACCCTCCAAGGTTGGCAAACACCCCAACCAAACTACTTCAAAGCAACTCACTAATGTCAATAAAAAGGTGTTCTTCGATATCAGCATCAATAATAAAAATGCTGGGAGAATTCTGATGGAGCTCTATACCGATACGGTTCCTAAAACAGCGGAAAACTTTCGAGCGTTATGCACTGGAGAAAAGGGTAAAGGAAGAAGTGGCAAGCCGCTTCACTTCAAGAATTCCATATTTCACCGTGTTATACCTGGGTTTATGATCCAAGGTGGCGATCTTACACGCGGCAATGGTTCAGGTGGAGAGTCGATATATGGCACGACATTTCGAGATGAAACTTTTGCTGGGAAGGCTGGTAAGCACACAGGGTTGGGTTGCCTTTCTATGGCCAATTCAGGTCCGAATACGAATGGGTCTCAGTTCTTTATCTGTACCGCTCCGACGCCTTGGCTAAATGGCAAACATGTTGTCTTTGGTAGGGTTGTAGAGGGTATTGACATTGTCAAAAGTATTGAACGCCTTGGATCTGAGTCAGGGCGTACACGCTCCCGTATCGCTATCGCGAACTGTGGCGAAATAAAGCCAGATGCCAAAACCTTTGAGGAGACATCCCCTCGTGAAGAGATTGTTAAGAAGAAAAAGTTGCCTAAGGAGCAAAAATCTAATGAAGGTGTGTCTACCCTGGTAGAAAATAAGAAAAAATTAGAGCCACTTGGGGATAAGGGGAAAGCATCTTCGATAAAAATTACAGATGCTAAAGATATCAGTAAAGAGCCTGCTCAAGGTTCTAAAAAAAGACCTAGGGATGACAAAGAAAATGAGCGTCATGAAAGCATCCGTGCCAAAAAGGCAAAGATTGCTCAACTTCGAGCTGAACTGGACTCTATGTCTGCATAAAATGTTCTTCTCCAAGGTTATTCCGTTTAATACAATAATATATTAATATAACCCTTATTTTCATTCGACAAGTAATGGGTATTTCATAATTAATCCTTATCCAAATAGATATCCATACTGTAGCATGCACTCTTTTTGCATATGGAGTCCTTTACTAGAAGAGACCAGTAAGTATGACTTCTTTTCTTTTCTGTTTGAACAACCACAATTGCAACAACACAAATAGGAAAGCAAAGGTAGGTTTAGAGCCCAATAAATGCTAAAACGATGTTTTGTTAGATTAGCTTTTAAAATAAAAGATGTGAAAACGAAGTTGATCCTTGATCGTGCGCGATCGAAGAAGGAGAAGCAAGGTGTTCCCTCTGATGATATTGACGATGAAGATCTCGCACGCGAATGTAATTTAGTTGATTCTTATCTTATTTCTACTGAAGATTTGATTGCTCAAAAGGAAAGGCTGCTGTTAATGCTCAAAGAGCAAAAACTAAAGCGCATTTCACAACGGGAGGCTTTTCTTGCTTGGCAAACCAAACAAAGAGAAAAAGGAGCTGCACATCGTTTGGACCGGCAAGCACGAACATCAGAACGATACAAGCAACACCATTACCACTCACAGAAAGGACGTATTCTTCCTATAGCACACTTTAAGGGGGATAAGGAAACAAATGACAAGTACGATTGGAAATCGGCAGGTGCAAAACTTTGTAGCTCACGCGAGTGCGTGTCCTCAACTGAATTTTTAGTTGAGGAGAACCAACGCAACCCATATACGGTTTTTTTATCCTTAAGTAAGCGATAGTGATTCTGTTTTTTTCTTTATTTTCTAACTGTTTGCAGTTATACATTCTTACACAAGGAATCACATGTCAAGAGACGTCAGCCAAGACTTGTTGAAAACTAATCCTGTGGGAGTGAAATATCCATTGTCCAGATACAGAGCAAATTGCAATAAAAAATCCTATTTTTTTTTTCAAGATTCCTTTATCCACATAATTTTCGAAAGTGTTTAGATAAAGCCGGCTATTTTTTAATGTTTACCAAATTTCTTTCAACCGTGAAAAACATTTCACCGCGTTCCACTGAATGGACTGACAGATTTGGTCCCGTTGCATTGTTTGGGTATGACTATGGTGTCCCAGGCAGCTCAGCCAAACTGATGGATTATTTTTATCACTCCCCACGTGACTGTGACTTTTATGGCGAGCTCACATTCCACGACACCACACCGATCGAGTGTCCACCGGAAACGGTGATTTTTCTCCCGGTCTTTAAGCTTGGTTCGATGATCGAAAAAGACCTCACCGCAACGCCCTCTCGCGACGAATGGTTCATGGCAAGTTTGGAAGCAACAGCTGAATTATTGGAAAAAGGGTACATTCCTGTAAGTGTTGGTGGTGACGGATCTGCCACTCACAGTATGATTGAGGCGCACAAGAGACTTTTTCCTCAAGAAGATGTCGTTCTTATCCATTTATCTGCTCATCCACGCGTGGGTGATCCAAATTTACCTATTAATATTATGTTGGAAAAGGGACTTTTGAAAGGTGTTGTCAGTATCGCCAACCGATGCGTATCATCTGCCGATCGTCGTGTTCGAAAACACCATAAAATAATTTATATGGATATGAATGGAATATATCCAAAGGGTATTTTTTGCATTCGTGATATTCGAAATGATTATCCTGTCTTTATTAGCATTAATGTTGATACACTGGATCCAGCGTTTGCCCCTGCTGTGGAGAACCCAGTGTGTGGTGGGTTATCGACACGTGATTTATTACACATTATCGGTGGAATTCGTGGCCCCAAAGTGGCTGGAATTGATATACATGGTTACAACCCTTTCCTTGATATTTATCGTGAGGATAAGATTGGGCTCACTCAAATTACCACTTCGAAGATTATCAAAGAAAGCATTTTCAAATCGTATTCAATTTCCACCATGACAAACGAGGAGGGAATAGCTCGGCTGAAGATGCTACAACATCAAGGCACACTTTCTGAGAATCCTTATCCAGATCACTAGTTATCGTTCTTTTGTTATCTTTTAATCTGATTGCTATTGTGATTCGTTTATTTTTTTTGTTGTGTTTCTGTGTGTGTGTGGAAGGAGGGGTCGGGAGATTCGACCCGGGCCCATCAACACCGATTCAGAGCCACCAGTAATTTCATTGGTTTTAGTTTACATACTCGAACAAAAACATAGGAATATATGTATAGAACTAGGTGCGTCTACATGAATGCGTATTTTATCCTTTATGTATGATATTACTTGATATAAGATTGCTCTAATCTTTTTTTTTACAGATTCTATTGATTTAACCTAAACAGGCGATATTATTATTATTATTATTATTATATTTTATACATTTCAAACACTTCAAGATGGATCAAGACGGTGTTGTGGTGGTTCATGAAGACACACATGAGCCACTGAAAGAAGAAGAACTGGACCGACATCAAACTGAAGCTCGCGCTTTGGAGATAAAAGTCACCAAAAAGATTGCGGAGCTCAAACGCGCGAAAGAGGAGCAGTCTCTTTTGTTTGAGCTACAGGCGATGAACAAAATGATTATCAAGAGGAAAGAAAACCCCGATATTTCAAATCAGAACAGCTTTAAAATTTCGACTGAAACACTCACTACACTCAGGACACTGGAGGATACGCTTAAGGCTGAAGAAAAAATGACACTGGAACTAAAAAAGGTGTCTAATGTGGTCTCTCAGCAATTGGTAGACATAGAGAAAGCGTTGGAAGGGCAAAGCAGTAAGTTGGTTTCAGCTAAGCGTTGGGCTCGCTTGGACGTTGCTGCAAAATACATTCCTTCTGGCGACAGCGCTGCAGTTGACTTTAAAGATCGAAAGACTACACTTGCAGAGCTTCACAAAAAGCAGAAGATGTTGAATGATACATCGGATCGCCATACAAAGGAAATCGAGCAGCTTGAGTCTCAATTGGCTGAGCGAACATCCATCGAAGAGCAGATTGCTGCGGCCGAGGCAGAGTTGAAGGAAAAAAATGATGAGTATGATTCTCTGAACCTGAAGGTTTTATCTTATGAGCGCCTAAGGAAGAAAAAGGAGCGGGTGTTGGACAAATCAAGAGTCGAAGATAACTTCAGGGCATTTCGCCACATGGATTATACTAAACGATCCCTGCTAAATTACCTGTCGAAGCTTCGTGAATCGAGTGCACACAACATCAAATCCATTATCTCGATGGAAATGCGTCTTCGCCAACTGGAGGCCCGCTTGGAGGCTGCTAATTCGTTTTTGAAACAAGCGTTTGCGGATATTAAAAATGATCCACCCATGACCGGTGTTGCCAATGATGCAACTGAGGTACCTCTAATTGCGTTTGAGGAGCTAAGTCGCGAACTTGTACTCTCTCGTGAAACAATTGTCCAGCGCGATGAGCAGCTTGATACCTATGACACCAAAATAGAGGAGTTGGAGAAGAAGATGATCGTAATTCGAAAAGCCATCGCGTCGCGTGCTGTTTCGTCTGAATTGCAAAATCAGAAAAAGGAACTCACCATCGGGTCCTTAATGAACAAAGCGAACTGTCTGAGTAAGGATTTCGATAATGAGTGTTTTCGTTTGACTAAGGAAAACGAGAACTTGCGAAGTCAGCTTGCTACTATGCACAGGTGATACGTTTGAATTCAATGATAACATTCATCAGGTAAAAGAACTCCTATATTAGCGATATAAGCTTATTTATATTTTTAGGCAATTATGTCAATATGGGCAAAGGACGTGTCTTTGTGTTCTCATTTTTAAACGTCTTTTTTATTTTTCTAGTATGCAACTTCCAATGGAAGGTCGGTAAAGAATTATATTTCACGTCGTTGAGCTTCAAGTATATAGTTTTCAGTTATAAGCATGTGGGTGTGGGTGTATTTTATTCCAGACAATGTTATTATTTTTATCTTTGTAGTTTTTTTTTGTGTGGAAGTAAAAACGCATTTTTCATATGGAATATATCTAAGTGATTGTGTTTATTCCCCTATACCTGAATCACATAGTGCATTTAATGATCTTTCAGTGGAACTTTATGAATGGTTTGTAATCGTTGAATGACTCTCTACTGTACTCATAATAAACGCTCATAATAGACATCAGAATTTGTAAATTTTCAAGGGAAATTAACAACACTACTTATATACGCAACATTTGAATTTATTTGTAAGATTACTTTTGGCGTATAGTATTTGCATTTAATTTAAGACAAAGATATATGATATCACTTGTGGAGGAAGTCAAGGCAAATTATCACTTAGTGGTGTCACCAGAGTATGTATTAAAGGCAAAAGTATTGAGGGATGAATAAAATGCGGCCGATATCCTTCATATGGCATTAATCACGGACATTAAAAAAATAAACCACCCAAGTCCTCTTCTATTTTAAATTAGCATACAAACAAACACTGCTATTCTTTCCCTTGCCTTTCTTCAGATCAAAAGCGCACGTGATGCTACGCAACCGTTAGGCCCTAGTATAGAACCTGCCGATGAGGAGGATATCTTTAATCTGACTTCTCAAAGGACTACAAATAATCATTCACTTCGATTCATCTTAACTGATAGATACACAAATGTTCCTACCATTGAGTTATCCACTCTTGGTATACTTGGGTGTATTCCTGATCCAGTAGAGAGAATTAACATCAACGCCACCTCCAAAGTGCTCAACAGGTCTATTATCATGGCTGAGGATAGCGTTATCCTACACAATGGTGAAGTCAAAGAATTTGAGCAGGAATAACGGGACCAGCGGAAACGTGTGAACGTGGGATCCCAACTAAAGAAGAAATAAAAAAGTGTACCATGTTTTATTACACTATAGACCTAATACCAATTCAAGGGCTATAACTACCATTAACTTGGTGCGCCCTACGGTCATCACTATCTTTGAGTAATCGTTAGCAACCTTAATGGGGTAGACATTTTAGTACTACGGGTGGTAAAAATAAACTGAACTAGAGATCTTCTTTCCATCGGAAAGTAAATCAAAATAGGTCTTAACAATTGGTGTGCATTGTTTCATTCTTCTTTCCAGCCCAAAAGGGATAATCGCGGAGGCCTTGGCAGTTTATGAAATGTCAAGACAAATGTGAATTTGATTCGTAGTTATGGATTGTTTTTTGTGGTTGTGAAGGAGGAAACAGGGGAAACTATCCATTTTTTTCATAGGATACTTTTTTATTGTTACCTTCTTACACGCAAAGACATTTTAACTGAATATGATTGCTTGGCCTTATGGACTTCTTTTTGGAGCAGATGGAAAGTTGTATTTAGCGTCTTAAATTTTTTTCAATCTTCTGATTTTATTTTGTAACGATATATCTAAACGAACTCTTTTAGAACCAGTAATTTGATATATTTCAGATCACGCCAAATTTTTAAAAGCGTGACGCATGATTGAAGTCTTAACCATAATTATCAAAAGTTTGTAGTGAAAGGGCAATTATCTTCCTTCAAAGTCATGTGAAACTGTTCTTGTAAAGAGAAAGTGAAAAAATATATATAATAATTTCTTGCTTCATTTCTAGTATAGTGTTGTATGGAGTTGTAACACTTGAAATTTTGAATGAAAATGCTTTCAAAACGTGTTTGGTTCTTGCTATGAAGCCTTCATTCTTTTTACTTGCATCTCGATGGCTATCTCTTTTCAGAGCTTTGCCCCTGATTTTTTTTACAGTGGCCATAGTCTAGTACCCTGTATCATTGAATAAAAGGTTGCATGTACTTGTTTCCTTCCTACAATCTGGAGTCCTGAATCATGAGCACGTTAGCATGGACAGCTTCATTTGGGCGTAGTCAACCAATTTATATGAAATAATTGTGCTATTACATTCTGTACAAATGATCCAGCTTCCTGCAAGGAGGGTATGCCGATATAAGTTTTGGACTTGGTAAGACACCGTACACAGGAGGGGGAAAAATATTTCCTGTATTTTTTTTATTTTAAATAAGGATAAAAAAGAAGAGTTAACAAGTCGATTTAAATAAGGTATACTTATTTTCAGTTAGTATTATCTCCTTGAAGGATAAAAACTTATAGTTTTTGAAAGAAAAGAAACGCAAATGGAAAATATTGTGACTTGATTCCTAAGTTTAGATTTGTGACGTAATCTGCCTTCCTACTTCCCAAAGTCGATGGAATATTACATGAGTCTAGTTGATGTGCTTTCTTTACCAGAAGTTATCCTTTTATCGATTTTATAATTTAATAGTTTACCACAATTATAATTTTGCTATTTCCAAAATAAGTTATTAATTACAAAAAATGGTTGATAATAAGCATGGTATGCGGGCTGTTATCCTTGTCGGGGGATTTGGCACTCGACTTCGTCCCCTTACATTTACGGTGCCTAAGCCATTGGTTCCTATGTGTAATAAGCCCATGATTATTCATCAGGTGGAGGCCCTCAAGAAAGCTGGAGTCACAGAAGTGATTCTCGCTGTTTCCTATCGTCCCGATATTATGAGAGCTGAGATGGATAAATGGGCACACAAGATCGGTGTTTCGTTTGTGTATTCTGTTGAAAATGAACCATTAGGTACTGCTGGACCCCTTTCACTGATACGCGAAATTCTTATGCAAGATGACAATCCCTTCTTTGTTCTCAATTCGGACGTCGTATGCAAATTTCCACTTGAGGATTTCCTTAAATTTCATATAAAACATGGTAAAGAAGGAAGCATCATGGTTACCAAAGTCAAGGATTGGGATAAGTACGGCGTGGTGGTTTATGATGCAAAAACATCCTGTATCGAAGGCTTTCTTGAGAAACCTAAGCAGTTTGTTGGTGATCACATTAATGCTGGTATTTATATTTTTAATAAGAACATGCTTTCACGCATTCCACAGACACGAGCTTCCATGGAAACGCAAATTTTTCCTAATATGGTCCTCGACAATCAACTTTGTGCGTATAACCTAGAGGGTTTTTGGATGGATATTGGGCAGCCTCACGATTTCATTATAGGTATGGGCAAGCTTTTACCCTTCCTGAGTGAAACTACTTACAAAACGGAGGAAGCCCACATTGAGAAAACGCGTGACGGGTCAAAGCTTGGTTTTAAGGTTCTTGGGAACGTGTTAATCGATCCCACTGCTACAATTGGTGCCGGTTCCGTCATTGGACCGAACGTTTCGATTGGTTCTAACTGCAGGATCGGCCCTTTCTGCCACATTCATTCTGCGGCGATCTTTGATAATACAACTATTGGAGCCGCTTCAGTAATTTCACATAGCATCATTGGCTGGAGCAATCGTATTGGCAACTGGTGCCATGTGGAGAATGACTCCGTTCTTGGTAATGATGTCGAAGTGAGCGATGATGTTATTGTAAATTGTGTAAAGGTACTTCCTAACAAAGCAATATCAGTAAATCATTTTGAGCCTGAAATATTAATGTAATCAAAAACAACAACAGTGTTGTAAATTGCGAATATAGCGTGTTTTCCTATGAAACGAGAATACGCAATGTATTTGAATGACGTCAAAAGTAATTGATTTAATATGAACCAATCAGCGTATGTATCTTTTAGATGCCTTCATTATTCGGTGTTTTCCCATTTGCTAATTTATTTTGTTTACATTTACAAAAAAATCTATATTTTATATTGTTGCGTGCCTGTGGCTCGTTTATATTTGAAAAAATGGTTGTGATATAATTAAAACTATTGAAAAATGAAAACGTTATAAAACATTTATTTTTCTTAATGACTATCTTTGCCTATTAGTTTTTTCCACTTTTTATGGTATAAACTATTGATTTTTGTGCATGGGCTTGAAGTATCCATTTATCTATCTATCTATCTATATATATAAGTATATAAATCGATAGATAGAAGGAGAGAGAGAAAGAGAGTGATAAATATATAAGATTTTTTATGACCTAAAAACAGTTATTTTGGTTACTTAAACATATATATTTTTCATTAAGATTTTACTTTTGCTTCATCATTTACTGGCTTCTCTTATTTACTTTATTAATATCTAGCTCGATTGAAAAGGGTGAAAAGGGGTTTTAGCAATGAGCGATAAAAAAAGAAATGGAATACAACGAAGTTGGCTTGATGTGCGCTGCACTTCAATAGGAAGTCCACAACATGAAACACTGATGAAAAAATTTCTGGATGACTTTCTTTCCGAGGTTCATTCCCGTACTGATTCACAATTCAAGGCATATTTTGGTGATGGTAATGCGTTAGCTAATATGTTGTGTACTGTTTTTGTGCGCAACTCAAAGCATATCCTTACTTCCCCTCTTGAGGAAGCAGTCTCGATAGCTTCGGCTCCGTACCAAAACATGTTGGTGGACTCTCTTTTTCTTTTAGTCACCTGTGAATCTAATCATGATAATTCCCTAGCAAGCTTGGCTGCGATTTTTGAGTTATTTGGGTATTATAATATAATATCTACCTTGCTCTCGTTGCATTCCCAATTGATGAGTTCCTTAAAACATCCTGAACGCCGACTTTCTGATCGAGTAAGTCGAGCTAACCTAGGGCATATGCGTCTTGTGCAAGCGGTGGTTTGTTGTCCACAACCCGAGTTAATCCGGAAAAGCCTTCACGAGGCAACACAGCCAAAGCACATCGACTTGGTGGTGACAACCTTGACGAAGTGCCATACTACGCTCCCGAGTGATGTCAATGCTTCTGCACTTGCCGAGATCACGTCCAAGGTCTTTCAACGGCAAATTCTTTACTCCCAGGCTATGGAGCCTATTAATCTAGCCATTGCTTTTCTAGAAAGCAGCATTGGAAGTGTTCAAGTCGATGTCTCCAGCGAGAGTAAATCACACGTTGCGGTTAGCCTCACCTGTTTTTTAGAATGTGTTGCCTTTGCTTCACAGCATGTGGGATACAAGATAAAAGAAACACTTGACTTTGGTGCTATCGCAGCCATGATGCTCGCTCTTCCAAAGGCCTTGGAGGATTCAGAGGCATCATTATGTAAAAGAATTTTAATATGTTTTGAAAAGATCGTTAAGTTATCAAGAAAGTTATCGGAATCATCCGCCTCAGTTTCTAGGGAGCGTAGTGGTATTCGCCAAATTCTTCCAGAAATCTTTAGTAAGTTCCAAGAAAAAATACTTGGAGCTTTAACGGTCGGAGGAGGTCAGACGGTTAGACCCTCGGTAAACTGTCTTGGTGTGTTTCAATGCTTGTTAACCTTATTTATATGCTCGTCTTCTTCATTACTTATTGAACACTATGGTGAGGGATTATTTCGTCTGCTCTTATCTGGGGGTGTGGACAATTCGTTGCGCGAATTTGTGTTGCTATCGTGTCATGAAAACATTTCCTCGCTCACTTCGCAGCAATTACGTTTTGTTCTGGACTTTCTATTCCATCTCAACGAGAATGATGATATTTATAAACATATCAAAATTATCATGGACGACTTCTGTACAGACAACATTCTTGCATCACCCTGTAAAATTCTTCTTATGGAATTTTTCATTAGCTGCTGCGAAAGAATGCCGCTTGCCGTAGACCTGGCCTTAAGAAGTGGCATCATTTCAGCCTCCTTGCGTTGTGTCTTGAGTATGCTTTCCAAATGCGATACAGAATTGTCCTTGTTTGTTGAGAAAGCAGCAGTGGTTTGGAAAATGTTGGTGAGATCACCGGCTGCGACGTGTTTTTTAGAACTTCATCATACACCCTATCTCCTTCTAAACACTATTCTTGAGTCCAGAAGCAGGCATAAATATGATGTCGCTGTTATTCTGAGGGATATGTTCACGAACCTTGTGGTCAAAACAGGAACTTTCTACAGTACTCTCATAACAACTATCTCGCAATACACTGAAATACGACCCTGGCGACCAGGGACTTCTGCCCTTCTTGCAGTGCTTGTGGCTACATTGCAAACTGGGAAGCATTGCGAGGATGCTATTAGGGGGAACGCGATTGAGCTGTGCCTTGCAATGGTGTGCGACCTCCACAACAGCGACGCTTCACGGGTGGATTTGCACTTCATCGGGTGCTGTCTCTGTTTCCTTCTTCCTGTAGTAAATTATAGCGATGTGTGGGATGTGTTCGACTCGTCTCTAGTGAGTCTTGCTCACACAACACGTAACGTCCAGTTTATGCTGGACTTATGTTGTGGGGTTTTCTGTACAAACGAAAGCATCTCAGCTTGCTTTTCGTATTTTGAATCGGATGACGAGACAGTTTTTGACTCGATGCACAGCTCGTCTGTCTTTTATGGCCCATATGCAGTCTTAGAGCGGCCTTTCTATGAGCTTAAGCACCCACTTAAAATTCTTATCATTTGGGCAGGTGAGGAACGTTCTGCTATGGGTGACATATGTGGTGACTCTACTGCAAGCGATCTAGTCTTTGTGGTTGAAAAATTCCTTCTCTCTACCAAAATCAGACTTCCAAATTCATTTCTTGCGCAATATATTATTGAATGGAAGCAACCCAAATTACTGTGCTGTGTGCAAGATGTCGCTAGTGAGGAATTCAACAACCTTTTTTTCGGCGGCGACGACACCTTGGATGCGGTTGATTTGAAAACAAACGCCTGGCTGTCTGCTTTTGAAATTCGTGATGGTGAGTCTGTGGAAAACCGATGTAATATTGAGTTTTCTGAATCCAGTGGTGCCTATGGCACTGTTCGCTGTGTTAGCGAATTGTGGCCATCTGTTGATGGCTACTCAACAGAAACATGGGTGCACTGGAACTACTTTTCTGCTCTTGAGCGTAAAGATCAACGCAACTCACTATGGCAACTATCGTGGTCCACCCCTGATACAATTTTTTCTGTTTCTTTTTTGATAAACCCTTATGAAGAATGTTGTCATTATCTTTATGAAGAAAATTTTAATTCTTCATCCGTAGAACTTCCCTTTATTCCCCCTGGTAGGTGGGTGCACGTTGTGACATGTCATTCTCGCAATATGCTTCTTACATCAACCCTCCAGATTTACTATGATGGTGTATTGGTTAGCGTATCACCTTGTCCATATCCTCATATCACCGTGCAAGACGCTGCTTCAGTGGGTAGCGGCCTGCACACGGTGGTTCACGAAGTCGGATGCACAGTAGGCTCGCCACGAGAAAAGCCAAACGCAAATATTGTTTTAAAATATATCTCGTACACCTTGTTCAACTACATTCTATCATCTGAGGAGGCCGCAGCTCTTTATTCTCTCGGAGCACAAAACCAATGCAACTTTTGGGGACATTCCAATTCTCATGAGGCATCGCTGCGAGACCTCTATCTCCGAGATGAAGTCCTACGGGCCATAAACGTTTCTCAAAGGCTTGGTAGCTTGGCATCATGTTGCAAAAAAGGTTCTATTTTAATTGCATCACCGCCTGAGCGAGCTCTTCTGCGGCTGCACGCGCGATGTATGCACCTCATATCGAGTCAGTTGAATTATTTGAACAATAATCAGTGGGCTTTACTGAATTGTGAGTCTACCTCTTCAACGAAATTTATTGCCTACGGGAGTCATACGTCTCCGAACGAAGCGACATGCAACGAGGTGGACGCCTTGCTGGCGCACGGTGCCATGCATGAATGGGTTCACTGGACAAACATCATTGACAGGGAGATGATATTGCAAAAACAGAAGACCGAGAGGGTAATCCTTACTGCCCGACGCCTTCTGCGTGTCCTTGTTGCGTCCAACAAGCAAACCGAATTTTCTTATCGAAACTGGAGGCATTTTATGAGATGGGTTACAAATCATGTTATGCGGCACCCGCGTCTGTACTTAACCGACACCGAATCTCTTCAAGCCTTGTTTTTGATTAGCGCCTGTCCAATGGACACTCACAGGCAATTCAATGAAGGAGATCATACCTTCCGCAGAAGCCTTATTTACTACACTGCGCCTCTTGAAGAAATATTTTTCAATTGGAAGATACTTTCCAATCTCCCAATCTCTGCCTTACATATAATCCTCAGCAACATTGAGGATTTGATTTGCCTTGAAAATCCTTATCACTGCATTAATGCGCATCGAATATGCAATGCAGATTTTATTAATGGTTTTCTGTGCAGTCTTTTTCGCCAACATGTGGTGTACGTAATTCTCGAGCGTGCTATGCACTGCGTTACGTTAATATTACTAGCTCTAGCTTCCCATGATGTGTTTTTGAGTGAAGCACTTAGTCTCTGTTGTTTGTCGATACCTGATAACTCCGTCAGGACACACCTTGGTTCCAAGTTACTGACAACTTCTCTATCATATATCGAGATCGTTCGAAATTTATTGCTAAAGTCCATCAATGACGCCTGGGATCAGCTGCCACCAGCGAAAAAGGAGACATTCGTAAAGGAAATGTGCAACGTCTTGCCACCATTCTGGTTCCCCATCATGATATCAGCCCAGTCTCACCCTGTCACAGTAACTTTGTCTGTGCGTATTTTTGTGATTTGCTTTCTTTCATGCTCTTCTTTCCAGGAGCGCTACAGAGGCAACGCTGTTCTTACCTTGATGGATGGACTTTCCTGCTATGCTCATCAACAGGAAATGGTTGAGATCGTCTTTATGAGCTTTCTCGGACATATCAGTAGGCTTAACCAGCAGCAGGAGATGCACTCGTTTTCTTCGGTGCTTCCTTGTGGGAGTTCTGAACTACAACCCCTTCTCTCCTTAACTCTGAATCTTTTGAAGCGGACATCTCAGATCTTTTTGCGTGATGAGAAAGTTCTTTCTCCCATTGTATGGATGCGTGACTATTTCACTGGCATCACGTCCTCACGGCTGCCTCAATCTAATGCAAAGTGTGCGCTACGGCGTTGTGTCACTACAATCCGTTGCTGCATACGCTTGAGAAGCAAACAAAAAAACAGATATCAGGTTGAAGAAGTTTTCAGGCAGGGGGTTCCTTGCGCAGAATTGGCCATGTCTATGAAAGCGACTATGTGTGCGATCCTGGAATGTTTGGCGGAAAACTATGGGCAACACCTTTACATTGAAAACGCCCTTTATAATAGTGAAAACATGACAAATTTGGTTGATCTTGTGTCATGGCCGTTACTATGTGCTATTTCACGAAGGTATGTCGAACAAGACGCTCCTTCTTCAGGATGCAATGAAAAAAGCAAAAGTTTAACCAGCATTGAGGAAATAGCAAGTCCTGCAGTTCCTACACCCGATGACGACGACGATGACTGGGAGTTACTAGGAATTGTAACTGATATATCGCCCAAAAGTTATGAATTGGATAACCTGTTTCCAAGAGAAGGATTTCATTGTGTATACGATGCTTGTCGATCCTTTTACATGTCACACGCCTTAAATTGTATTCGAAGCTCTGATGCCCAAATTGTCTTTCGCGGAAGTACACGGATTAATAAATTCGTTCTATCCTTGCATCGAGCACTTTCTTCAGAAATTAAGGGAATTGAGAAGCATACGGAGAATCTTCGAGAGGCGTTTCTGTGCAGTATATGGCTTAAGGCTACTGAGAATTCAATTGCTACCACAAAACCATGTTCATCTGTGTCAAAAAATGCTCTTGCCTTAGGTAAATATGTGCTAGATCGCTTAGTAAGTGGGTCTGTAATAGCTCCTGCTAGTGTTTCCAGTCTTTTTCGGTTTCTTCTTACGCGAATAGAACGGAATGAAGATGTTCAGAAAAGTACTCGTGCCTTCTTGTTTGAATGGTTAATGTATGTTATGAACCCCAAGTACTATAGATATGAAGTGTCTAGGGCTGCAGACGTAATAGATTTATTATATCCTAATAAAGAGCTATTATTTGCTTGTTTTATTCCAGTGGCTGAATTTGTGCGCATGATACTTGTGAGACTCATGGAGATTTCTCATATTTTCGTAAGTAGCTATGGCACCATTAGCTGCCCTATCGCAACGAGGTTAGTTTCGATTTGGTATTCTTTTATCAACGCCAATGAGGGGGTAACCACTTTGATGAAAATAGCCGTTGCTAGCAGCAGTAGTGCCCTGTTACTAAGCGAAGGATTAAACCTGCTGCTTCCGCCTGTGTCTTCTGTAGAGAAGTTTCTGCAGTGGATGCACGATAATCGTATCGCATTCGGGCGCTGTCTCAAAGACGTTCCTGTAAAATTTAATTTTCTAGTCAGTGAAGGAGGAAAGTACAACCGAATTATGCGAAAAACTGTAAAAGCGAATCGTGAGGAAACGTCTGACATCATAAAGCATGTGTCGGATCTAACACTAGATAACAAAACGAACTGGCTCAAGTTCACTGATACAACCACTTTTGTTGAACCGATATTTCTAAATCCCATCAGGCTAACATTTCCTAGTAGTTGTATAATCGGTTGTCGTAATACACAGACAAATGAACCCTGTCTCTGGTTTTGGCATGCAAATAACATCGTTGGAAAGAGAAATTTGTACGAAGGTGAGGACATCGACAATCTTGTAGGCGAACCACTTTGTCACTACATTATGTATGCCCCCCCTGTATGTGTTTCACTGCTTGCGTCTACTCAGGAGGCTCCTCTTACGCGCTGCAGGCTTCGACCAAACGCCTCTATGTTGCTCTCTAAGATTGCAGGTCCCTTTCCAGAAGGTGGTCCCCAGTGGGTAGGAAATGTATACTTCATTGTTGGTGCACGCAGCCATATATGCACCTTGACACTGACCACAAGGGAAGTTGTTATCATAAGCTGCAGCGAAGTCACCAAATCCGGTGATTTTACCATTTCCCATGTCAGACCTCATCATGCGACGAGAAAATCGCGCTTTAAGCCCAACATCATGCAGGCAACTTTGCGTCGGATTATGCCCTACCAATCACTTGGGCCTGTGACAAACTCCGAGGCGGCGTTCCGCTTTTCGCAGTACTATCGCCAGGTATGCACGGAATCAGCTGTAGATGCAGATCCTTTTGTATGGCGCTTCTCCCTTCATAACGTCGCCTATCTGTATCAACGCTTGTTTCAGCACATGTTGACCGGCCTGGAATTCATCATGGAGACTGGTGAGCGCTTTTTTATAGTAACTTTGAACGAAGAGTTCTCTTTCTCAAAATCCATGTGCAATATGTTACAGCATGCTGTCGAGGACTTAGCGCCCCATATTGTTGTGGTGACAATGAGTGGTAAAAGATCAAAGTTGGCTGCAATCACTAAACTCTGGGTAAATCATGGGATGAGTAATTTTGACTACCTCAGTGCGCTCAATGACGCAGCCTCCCGCACAGTTGCTGATGTTGGTCAATATCCAGTTATGCCATGGGTGCTGCGGGAGTACCAAAAGGACACTATTCAGGTCTCAGATCGAGGTATATACCGAGATCTGAGCAAACCAGTCGGTGCGCTCAATATTCTGAAAGCAGAGAAGCTTCGCCGTCGTTACACCGAATGGCTCAGCGAAAGTGAATTACCATTTCATCATGGCACACACTACAGTAGCGCTGCGGTTGTCTACTACTATCTTATCCGACTGCAACCCTTTACGGTGCGTTCGATTAGCTATCAAGGTGGCCGCCTCGATATCGCAGATAGGCTTTTTCACAGTGTCGCAGAGGCTTGGGACAGCAGCAGCGGACCAGGAACGGGTGACGTTAAGGAGCTTATCCCAGAATTTTTCCGTGTATCTGGGTTCTTATTGAATCGTAACAATACTCTACTTGGCACACGGCGTGACGGCGAGGCTGTAGCGGACGTCATTCTGCCCCCATGGACACAAGGAATCCCAGCTTTCTTTGTGCACTTCAATGCTTTATGCCTTGAGAGTGGTTATGTGAATGAACACTTGAACGAGTGGATTGACCTCATTTTCGGTTATAAACAATGCGGTGAAGAAGCCGTGAATGCATACAATGTTTTCCATCATCTCTCTTATCAGAAGGGTGTTGAGCATGCTATTGTGCATGCGGCATCTGAGGAGGAGAGGAGGTCTATTGTTGCCTCTGCGGATAACTTTGGGCAAACACCGCTGCAACTTTTCAGCAAAGGACCACATCCAAAGCGGTCCAACTTAACCGAGGCAACTTTAACGCAGCATAATCTTCTTGCGAATGCCCACACTATGCAACTACAGACGTTCCCATCGGTCAACCAGATAGGCGACAAGAACGCACCGGTGACTAAGCTTTTTGAGATAGCAGACACAGTTTACGGTTGTACGCAGGATGTTACAATTTCAGGCCTAAAACGAGCAGTTATCTTTACCCACCTGCTTCACATGGATGCAATTCGGTACAGCGACTTGCGACAAGGAAGGTCAAGCGCAACTTTGCCGCTGCTCCATTCTTTTGGTTGCGGCACCTTTACTTGTATGTGCGCCTCTGAGTCTGGCAATTTGCTCTGTGTGGGAACTAGTCGTGGGAAAGTTATCTTGTTTTGTCGTGACTTCTCGGCCGAGCCGTACAAAGTCACTTCGGTCATGCATTCTTCGTGTGATGTGAGCAACCCTGTACAGTTTCTCGCACTGTTCCACGAAGGACGGCTGATCACAACACATGAATATAGCACCCTGGTCACAGGTTGGCACATATCCTGCCTCAACACAATGCAGTGCTTTTCTCTAAATATTGAACCTGATACTGCACAAGATTTTTCACCAGTAGTTCAGGTAGCGATGGATAATCAGAGACATATTTACTATGGCGCACGAAGCCACGGAGTTGTGATCTTCACTGATGAGGGTGTTCTCCTAGCCCACGTTGTGTTGGATGAAATGATTTCCATTATTTTATCCAAGGCCAGTCTACCGACCGATATACGCACTAGCATCAAGTCAATTGCATACTGTAATTGCACTTCTTTTTCATTTGAAAATATAATATATTTAGGTCTTGAAAATGGGTTGCTTCTTCTTATGCGTGTTAGTGACATAAAGTCACTTGGCCCCACAGAAAAGGCACTGTATACGATTAAACCACACTACTCATTTGTTTTCAAGAGTGCTATTACCAGCATTATGGTTTTGAACGAAGGTCGTTGCGTAGTGGTAGGGCTCGAAAGTGGTTTGATCGAACAATTATTGTACCCTAGTTTTCAAGATCCTTCTGATAGTGAGCCCTTTACATAGGGTCATTCATTAATTGAAAACTGCATATCATGGACTAAATATTAATAATTATTTTGATACTTGTTCATATTATTTTTACCATCATTGATTTCTCATTAAAGTGAGGATAAAATACAAATTGCACTTCAAAAAATGGAGTAATATAAAAGAGCAGAAAAAGATAACAATTAAAAACCTTACTTTTATTTCTTTTACAAACGCTAAACGTTCTTATGAATTCGGAATTTCAAAAAAAAAGTAGCAACCTTTTCCACTTAAAATTCGTATCTAAGCACACGAAAAGAAATTAAGTTTCGAAAATAAATATATTCACAAGCTGAGGTTTAAATGCGCCTTGCATTGGTTGATGTGCCTGTGCGTGGGAAACGCCTCAAAGATGGTTCGACCCGTTTACTTTCGAGTGTTGCCTATGCCTTTTATTGCCCCTTTCTTTATGTGAATAGGGCACTTTAACTGCTTTTGTGGACGGCGGTGGTAGGGTGCATGTGAGGAGATGCGCATAGTGCGTTCTTTGGTGCTATGATTACAATGGAATTTCTTTGCTACAGGAGATCCATTTGAGGAGATGACCTTGATTTTTACCAACAACCAAGATCAATGAGCACTGGATCATATGGATGCGCTGTGGTTGGGTGTTCACTTCACCTTCCATTTTTCACTGTTAGCTTCCTCCACGCCCTCTGTTCCTCATGCGTGTGTGTATGTGCGTGTGTGCGTATTGTGGTGTGGAGTGTGTGTGTATTGTAGGCGAAAGCACATATTGAGATCGGATATGATTACACAATTGGATAATATACGAGTCAAACCAATTCAACATGGTCTCGAGGGCTTACTCTGTGCAGATAACGTCCCCCGTGTCTGATCATCTCAGCATGCTTTCTTCCCGAGCGCCGCTCAACGGGCCAACCCCTTTTGTCAGCTTCTAGCGCACTTCCTCACTTGATGTGTGAACTTCTTTGTCGCGGTTTGCTTGAATTTTGCGAGGGCAGTGTTATATTTTATTTATTTTATCATTCTCTTTTTTTCTCATTTCATCGATTGATTTTTATTGTTTTTAGGCTTTTCTTTATTAGTTTTATGATTCGAGTCCCTGCAGAATGGCGATGCGCTCAATACGACTGCTTGTTAGTTCAAATCACTCATGATACCTTTTTCTTATGCCGCTCCGTCCCACTACCTTATCCTACCACTATTTATACTTTAACTACGAAGGTACGTCTGCCCATTGATGAAGCTCGGCGATTGCTTATCTGTCAGGATGTTATTGAGCGAGAGGAGCGGGCCGTACGATGGATGGATCGATCTAATGCCAATATTATGTGGTCCTACAACCTTTTTGGAATCCATCCCGGCGCCGCAGACGAGCTCCCAGCAGATGTGTCTAAGTTAACTTTTCACTGCGTGTCACAAACCTGTATTCTGCAGAGCGTCGTTTGTCGCGGGTTACGGCTGGATGTCCGGGCGACAGTGGCCCTCTTATCCGCTTCTATGATGGGGTGCTATGTGATCCCTGGTTCTGTCGTCGACACCGCGAACGGTTCCTATGAAGTAGTTCAAATCGAAAAGAAGTCTGGCACCGGTCTTGGCATCGTAGGAGGGGGTTGCCGGGTTCGGCTTAACAATACCACCGCCGTCAGCGTTGGGGGCAACTGCACCCTACCAAGTCGCCCAGTCGGATTGGATGATGCTGTCATCCAGATTGAGACGGTCCTATCCATGATTAAAAAGGATGCCGGGAAAGCATCCGGTGTCTTAGTGCACGGACCCAGGGGGTGTGGAGTGGGGAGTCTGATAATATATTGCTTAAGGTCACAGCCTGAAATTGAGTTGCTGCCCTGGAGCACCACCTTTGATGCTTCCTTTCTGCGACGGAAAATTCGTGGTTCGATCGTAGCACTGTATCTCCCCTCCTGCGAGCGTTTTTTTCCTGTTCAAGACGACGATTTTGCGCGACTTACACTTCGTAAACTTCTGAAAGATGTCAACTTGCTTACGGTAAGTCTTAATGGTCATCAACCCTCAGTATTAGTGGTTGCATCTACACACCAACTCGGTTCCTGTTGTGCCGAAGGTGTTCTAAAGTCTTTTTTTTCTGTACAGGTTCGTTTATCACTACCTGACACAAATCAACGTGCAGCTCTTCTTGCTGCTGTGCAAGGTGGCCAATCAGCAGATTGGATAGCTAAAGCTCAGTCACTTATTGGGAAAACGTCCGCTGACGTGCTAAGCATTGCAAAAGTTGGAGGATGGGAGTATAGGCTGCCATTCAAAGTGGTTCGATGGGGTGACATTGGTGGTCTTCGTGAGGTCAAGGAACGCTTGCATCGTGCCTTGGTTTGGCCTCAACGCCACCCGGAAGTCTTTAAAAAGTTCAACCTTCTGCATCCGAAAGGCATTCTTTTGTATGGTCCACCAGGCTGTGCGAAGACGACGCTGGTAAAAGCATTGTGCTCGGAAGGGCATTTTTCTTTAATCTACTTAGATTCTGCTAGTGTAGTGAGTGCTCACGTGGGTGAAAGTGAGCGGCGGGTGCGTGATGTGTTTGCTCAGGCTTCGCAGCGAACCCCATGCATTGTTTTTTTTGACGAGGTGGAGGTAATTGGAGCAAAGCGGGAGAGTGGGGGGCACCAAGCTGAGAGTGTGCGACTTCTTTCGACCTTACTAACGGAGATGGATGGCTTCATAGCCTCCCACGGAGTTTGCTTTGTAGGTGCTACTAATGTTCCTCATCTTGTCGACCCTGCGTTGCTGCGACCTGGCCGTTTTGACTACTTGGTGTACGTTCCTTTACCTTCGTCCAAGGATAGGGAAGAAATTTTGTCACTTCACCTGGGGTCTACTGCTGTAGATGTATCTGTACTTTCTGCGCTGACCGAAGGATTTAGCGGGGCAGATTTGGGTGCCCTCTGTACTGCCGCCCTCCTAGAGCTATTGGGGGGAAATGAGTCATTACCAAGCTTGCTGTATGACGTAGAATCGATGATGCCTTTTATGAAGAGCAAAATCCAGTCTTTCAAAAGGAGCAACTACAACTCTGTCGCCATCGAAGAGTTCCACCGTAAGTATGTTTCTGTATAATTACCAGCAACTAAAGGGTAAACCCAATTAAGAACACTAATCACAACTAAGTTTAATTATATGCATAATGGACTTGATTCGATATTTATTTTTAAGTTGTCATTAAACTTTTTTTCATCTATCTTTTTTTTACTACTTATCGCTCAGAATTTAGTTTAATAAAGAACAGATTATGCGATTATCCCGCATCATCGAGTTGCATACTTTAGAAGGTGCTTTATGGATAGAGCTTTATGACGACATTGCAACGGAGCTTTCTGATTCTTTCTCCAGGCTTGCCATGAGTGGCCAACTCTGTGGACCGATCTTTACAAAACTTATTCCTGGTTTTATATTGATGGGCAGCGCGTTGGGTATTCAAGGCGGCTCTGTGTTGGGCCAATTAGCGTTGCATCCTCCAGTTTTCCCTGAAAAGCCTGACCTGCATCATGTGGGCGCTGGGTTGTTAACGTCCAGAGTGATCCCTGGCGAGATACCTGCCGCAACTTTCGCCATAACTCTTTCACCACAGCCTAAACTTGATTCTCAGTACACCGTATTTGGTCGTGTGTACTCGGGGATGTCTATCATTGAAAAGGTAAGTAAAATGCAAGTCAATGAAAACTTTGAATTGTACACGCCGCTAATTGTGCAGAGGTGTGATATATTGTCGCTTACAATCAGGAAAAGGCCGTCAAATAGAAACGATAATTCTGAAGACTCTGATGCTTATAGTGCGGTAAAGGTGGTTCATGTTGCAAAATCCAGCCTCCTTAAGACTTTTTTTGATGATTAAATCGTCATTAAAGTGTCACTCTACTCTTATTAATCTCTACCATTGAAGTCTCATCTTATGAATATATTACCTATTGTGCGTCATTGCCTGTGAATCACAGCACATGTTCAAAATCCTACTTATCTTACCATCCTTTTCAATTCTCTTCGTAATAAAAGTCAGCAAAATTAGTAAAAAAAAAGTTCTATGACCACACTACCCCCATGCGATCCGGAGGCATTACTTTTTGGAATGCTTGGTGCAGCTGCATCGTTAGCTTTGGCTAATATCGGTGCCGCTTACGGAACCGCTAAGGCAGGTGTAGCGGTTGCACAGTTAGGTATTCTTCATCCGAATCGAGTAATGCGTGGTATCGTTCCAGTCGTTATGGCGGGTATTTTAGGAATTTACGGTCTCATTGTTTCTGTTATAATCTGCAATAACATGAAGACATCTGGGTATTCGCTTTTTTCTGGTTACTTACATTTTGGTGGAGGTCTGGGTGCTGGCTTTGCGTCTCTTGCCTCCGGTTATGCCATCGGTGTTGTTGGTGATGTGTGTTGCCACGCTTACGCTAAAACGGAAAAAATTTTTGTGCCCATGATTCTTATGCTTATTTTTGGAGAGGCACTTGGATTATTTGGCCTCATTACGGCACTATTAATGAGCAGTCGCGCAAACGCTGCTGTCGGTCGATGCAAGTAAAATATTCCAATACTTTCCTAGGGTGAAATATTTCCTTTGTATCTCGTTTTCGTAAATGTTTCTTTCTTCCTGTCGCTGTGAATGGATATTTATGCATGTGGTGACGACTAGTAAGTGTAATACACTTCTGTTATAAAACACATTGTAGTCTTTCCCCTTTCCTTTATAGTGAATGCAATTTGATCTGCTTGTGACCATTACATTTCTTCTGAAGCTGAAGTACTGTGTTTTTCAGCAGCGAGGCATACGACTACAGTATGAGTTCTGTTATTTCTTGATTTTATTCTTTTTTGTGTGTATTCAGGAAGGTTCTATCTTCTATTAGGTGTTCATCCTACCATAGCTTGTAGAACTGTGACCCAATTTTTCACAGTGCGTGTCATTAACTATGCAAAATGTGGGCTCAAGCATATCTGCAAAAATGTTCTTCATGTGGTGTAGAGCCGCGTGAGGAAGTCCTCCAGGTTGAGAGCAGTAGGATTATATTGCCTGGTAACACCTTGGAGCTATTCCATCGTCGACTGACAGATGAGGACTTACACGCAATCCTACAAGCAGCAGTGTTGAGTTTACCATTAAGTGAATTAGTCGTGCCGTACAACAATATTACTTCTGTTGGTTGCAAATACCTTGAGGAAGCCTTACGGCATGATCTGGACACGATGATGGTAATTGACCTTTCGTACAATTCGATCGAAGGTGACGGGATTAAGGAATTAACAAATGCATTGGCAACTAACCGGGGCGTGGTCCAGCTGAAGCTTGCCGGCAATCCGCTTGGAAGCTCCTGCGGTGATGCCTTTGCATCAATTCTGAAGCAAAATCATTGTCTTAGCGTGCTTGACCTGCACAGCACAGATTTAGATCTCAAAGCACTGATGCCCATATGTCATTCTCTTTCCCAAAATACAGGGCTCAGTACGTTGCGCCTTGGACGACCTCTCATTAGCAACCCTGATGACGTCAACTACGCAGTCCATTATATTGGTCTTGGACTTCGTGAAAATGTGACGCTTCAGGAGTTGGATTTAAGTTACTTTGAGATGTACGACCGACATTTAGACTCCTTACTGCCTTCATTATTTCTCTGTGGCATCATTCGGCTTTCACTGAAGGGGAACAAGTTTTCCCGTGCTGCAGGTCTTCTGCTTGCTGAACTACTAGATTCGCGCGAGAATTTCGACACGTTAGATATCAGCTCGAATCGGTTAGGTGATATGGGTGCTACAGCGCTAGCCCGTGCTGTCGGCTGCCACCCCAGCTTGCATACGCTGTTCTTAGGCCACAACGAAATCGGTGAAACGGGCTTGGAGGCGTTGACAGAGGGCATCAAGGACTGCACTTCCTTACAACGGCTTAAGCTTTGGGGAAACGCACTTGATACCCCTATTGCGGCGCACGCAATGTTTTGCATACATGAACGACTTGATCTTCTTGAGTACACAGACTTTAAGTTGTATTTTTTAGATGGAAAACCTGCAGTGTACATGACACCTTAGATGGAAAACCTCTATGTGCACAGGCTGATGTAAGTTTATGAACAGGAAAGGAAAACAAAAGTATAATAAACCATTCTCATTCAATACAGTTTTCGATTAAGAATTGATAGTAATAATTATATTTGGATATGCTTTTTTTGACGTCGTGTCATACAATTGTTTTAGACAAATTTCTTTTTCGTGTTCCCTACTTTCTTGTGTATGCATAATTTCGTTATTATTGTCATTGTTAGCTATTGTGAAGGATACTTCACGCTTGTTTACAGCTTTGTGCAAAGGATGGTGGCACTACCGACACAGAATCAGCTCTACGCTTTTTACATTTCGCGCTGCGCACACCATCGAGTGGGGAAGCCAAATGAACAAGTGCTTGAGCTCCTTTTAGAAGATGAGTTTAGCCGACTTTCATGGCAGAAGGCTGAAGCTGCAGAGCACCTCATCTCCCTTGATGAACTGCATGATATGGAGGGCGATAGCCCCTCGACTCTACAAAATAACGATACACCATTAGCGATGAAAACGACCTTTAGGCTGCCGAACTCCTCATTAGATGAAGGCCCAGTTCACATTGGAGCTCGTGGCATGCTTTCTATTCTAGACCTCATACAGGAGCTCCCGTTGCTTGAGGAAGTTGATTTATCCAACGTTACCTCATGGTATATCGCTGATGCTTTTACTCATACAAGAGAAGGTGCACCCTGTGGTAATGCAGTAATTAAGCGATTATGCGAGGTGATTAAAAATCTACCTGCACTGCGCAGGCTTGACGTGCGTACGCAGCCTATTGGGACTCTGGCTGCGAACGATTTGCTTCATGCTATTCAAGGCTGCCAGCGCCTTGTGGATGTATTTTTTTGCCGTAAAGCTGTGGAGAATAGGTTGTGCCGTACCATCGATGAGGCTCTCGATAAAAATCGCGAGGCGTCGGCGCAGCTGCCCTCGCCTAGCCTCCCGGAAGCTTTACCACCATACCTATCTCGTATCCTGACGTTGGATCGCAAGACATTGTGTGAGCAACAGCAGCTTCGCTGGCTACTCACGGAAGATGACAACTTTACAGGCGCCGTGACTGAGGAGGAGCTGAGTGAGATAGTTCTACACGCGCGTTTGATGAGCACTAGCGAGGTTGTTTGGCGCTGCAGCAACGATGGGTTGCGCGGGGATGGCGTGCATCTTTTTGTGATAAAGGATGGCTCTCTTCGGGCTTGCACTGATCTAGAAGGCCTTAAGCTCGGTCGTGGCGACTATTTTGGTGATACATACGAACATGTGATTATATATCCATCGAGCAGGATTGTCGAGACGGAGCGAGGCATCGTGTACGCGATTCCACTGGAGTGGTGCCGCAGCCTCTTGGATGTGTGGAAGAAGCGGGTGTTCGAACTTTACTCTGAGTTGCGTTCATTTCCGATCATGCAGGTCGTTGACACCTGGACGCGTGTCCGTCTCTGCACGTGTTCTATGTTACATCACTACAAGCCTGGGGAGGTCGTGCTGAACGTTGGCGACTTCAGGAAGGCCGTGTGGATTGTCTGCAGCGGCTTTTTTGAGGCTTCGGCTGGGACAATTGAAGATAAGGTGGCGACTGGTCGCTACGAGATCCACCGCTTTGTCAAAGCAGACGTTTTTGGTGTTGAAGCTGTTGTTGCTCGCAAGGGTTGTAGCTCTGTCACGGTGTCGGTGGGGAAGGAATCGAAAACTATTTACTCCGCTGTAGTGGTGTGCGGCTCCGCTATTCGAATTATCTCAAACAGTATACGAAGCGTATTCGTATCGCTTGCACGTCCCTACTCTCTCCATGATGATCTTCGTCGTATTGCCACAAAAGACTTGGAGCGCGGCGCCTGCTTTTCTATTATTTGAAGAGTTTCGCTGCTTGTGCTGTAGTGTCTTCTTGGCTACGGTGGTAACCTCCGTTTTGGTATCTGTGCTTAAACTCGCATCTCTCACCGTGTGTTTATGGGGAGGCGCGCCGCTGTCTTTTAGTCTCTTCCCTGTGAGTTGTTGACAGTAGACATGGGAAGAACCGGTCTAATCCTATAGCGAATGTATGATTCACTTGTGTTGAATCAGGGCGTATCGCTTCGTGCACGTAAGCAACACTATGGAAAAATGCTGCGATGGAGGTTGGAAGTTGTCAAATGAGGAAACTTCAGCTTTGCTGTAGTGGATTCATTCCAGGAGTTCGGTGGCATATGTGGAGAGGAAAGGTGCTTGGGTCAGCTCTATCAACTGTGAGCAAAATCAGGCTACTCCAACTATATGTAAATTTATATCACTCTTACTTTTTACTACTGAACATGTAAGAGAAGTAAAATAACAGCAGAGGTATCCATGAGAAGTGATTGAACTGGTTCCGAAGCGGTTCTACTTTTGAGATTCGAACGTTTTTTAACGAGGCAATGTCGATACCTCGCTCCACCTTCATATGAATGCTTTACTTCCTAAATACAATGCGCTATACGTGGAGGGGAAAATAATTGTGGGAAGTAGAAAAACAACCATCCATTCATATACATGAAAAGAGGGGTTGTGGCTAGTGTCCCAGCATTTTGTAGTCAAGTAAGGCTGAAATTGTGACATCAACTCTGTTTCATGACAACCTTATTCAATGACTTTTCAAGGATGCCCCTAGCGTAGAGGAAGAGGAGACGGTAGGCATATTGTGACATCTGGAATCGATCAAACGCGTTAGTAAGGTGCTGGGACTGGTCTTTTGGCGTGTACGGCTACTTTTGTCTTCATCGATGGCTACGGAGTAATAGCGTGTGAGGGAGACCTAGCTGGTGATGAGGTGATAAAAAGCAAAACAAAAACGAGTTCCTTGTGCGGGTATACAATGACCTTAATTGAACAGGTAACGGTAAAAACAGCGTCACAGAGCCATTGCAGCTCCATGGGATCTTTATATTTATTAAAGAGGAGGGGTTGGCTAAATTAACTGGGTATTGGTGAGGAGTTAGTAGAAAGGCTCAATATGTGAACTTGAAACGCATCTTTTTGAAAAAAGAGATACCTCCCCCCCCCCTCTGTGTCATTTGGTGTACCACTCTAGGGTGAGCCTCGACATTCTGGTGACATGTGTTGCACTTCGAATTCATTAGCAAGCTCTTCCGAGTCTGGAACAGACATGAGTTTTTTCAACACAACTGACTCATCTTCACGTAGTGATAATGCACCTGTTCACTAAGTCGAGGGCAGGAATCGAATTATTGTATATTACTGGTCTAATAAACAGTAACCCAACAATAGATTACTGCAATTCTCAAAAACGCTTCAGCTTATGTGTTGTCATTTCGCAGTGCGTTATCACTTTTTAATACTCTACTTGTTCCCTCCGCTACTCAGTTGTTGCTACATAAACTTTATGAGTATTTTTATGCTTATCCGAAGCAGGTTCGATGGATAAACAAGTATTTTTCCTATGCGACTCTTGGGCTACGTTGGCGGTTGTTAACAGCATCCGGGTGTTGGGCCGCCGCAAGCGCGATCGTGTCGCTCGCTACGTCGTCCACGGCCCTGCGGTGCAGCGCGTCTTTCGGCTATGCGGGGGCGGGCCTCCCGTTGAGATTACTTCAGCTTTTTTTGTGGGCCGCGCGGCAGAGGACGGCGGTGCTGTGGTGGAAGTATGGGTAGGATTGCCAAGTCTCGGTCAAGTTTTCTTTGACGGAACCATGTTCTTCGCTCGCATAGCTCAAATGGAACTCGTCCGGCAGTATGCATGTTATTGCCGCATAGCTAAGCTACAGACGATTGGTGGTGGTTGGGCGTCGCTGCGAGAGCCTAGGCATGCGATGCAGTACGCGGTCGAACTGTTTCACGTGGCCTCCGTTGTCGGCAACGATGTTATTATGGGTAACTGTCGAATTTTCGTTGGCTGGGCGCTCCTATGGTCCGGGAAGACTGAAAAGGCCCTCCAACTATTTAAATCGGAAAGGAAGATTGCCTGTATGCGTAATGATCTGGAGCAACAAAGGCGATGCGAGAACGCTATTATCAATGCCAAGACCAACACTACACTGAAAGGTCAAGTCCTATCGCGTATACACCACAGGATGTCTCAGCAAGAGGAATTTCGTGGATGCTCAAGCAGTAGCACTTCGGGGACTTCGTATCAGAACACTAAGGCTTTTATTCAGCTACGTGCGTGATGGTAATCCACGTGTGGCTTTTGAAGGTGAAAACCCTGTATCTACTTCAGCCCATACTAGAAAAGTTCCATGTGTGGCTTCGAGGATACCACGGTTGTGCGTAAAAACAGTAGTTAACGTAGGGACTGGTCCACTGGTGCCAACGTAACCTTTCTTTACTTTGTTTTAGGTGGTACTTAGTAATGGCACCATGAATAGTAGCAGACAGACACACATCTGCATGCACACATAATTTGCAAATCAATTCACAACATTGTGTATAACAAATATTTAATACGTTATCGTGTCCCTTCTGTTTTCATATCTCATTTTGGAATTCTAGTACGTCTTTAAAGTAGGTAGTGACTACCTGTAGGCGTGTGTTTTTCTTACATACATAGCCGTAGTAAATAAATAAATAACTACGCACGTTGAGTTTGATCCTATGACTAGCATGTCAAATGATGCAGTGCGCACCATCACACCGGATCAGGAGCTTTGTGTGCTAAAATTAATTCTCAGCTTGCGAAATCTGTGTGACATTGAAGCGAGCGAGAAGCTCCGAACAAGCGTGCGGAAGGCCCTGTTGCGGAGCGAGAGCGACCATGATGCAAGTATTGAGGTGGAGGGGGCCGTTCGTCGTGCGAGGAAAGTGGAGAGCAAACTCGACGGCAGCTATGATAGGGCACGCGAACGAAAGCGTCTGAAGCGCGAGGAGGAGCGTGCGCGTGCATATAGGTATGTGGACGCTGAGGCTGAATCAGGTGACGATAGTGAAGGTACAGATGAAGAGCAAGAGGTGGTGTCGTAATGGAAAAGATTGCACACACGACGCTTTGTACTCCTTGCGCTAGGTGTCGTAGTTCCCCTACATAAATAGATTTTTGGTCAAGAAAAGCAGACACCCTAGGGGGTGCAATGAGAGCATCTCCTTCTATTTGTTTATCTTTTCTAATTTATGAAGTGAAGATACAACAAGAGCACCATTGAGGAAAGTAATACAATGGATTGTTTGAGGTGCATCCCCAATTCAATATCTCCTCCCCCATTCAAACTAAAGAAAAAAACATACATTCTAGCCATTCTTCTCTCTTAATATTTTCGTCCTTAACTTATTTTTCTCCCATATACACTAAAAATGCACGGTCGTGTTGAAGGCAAGCTTTCAAAACTTGGCATTAAGCTCCCAACACCTGCAGCATCTGTGGCGAATTACTTGCCGTTTGTCATCTCTGGGGGGCAAGTGCATTTCTCAGGCCAACTACCCAAGGGAGAGGATACCAATCTCGTGGTCGGTCAACTTGGTGCCGGTTTGAGTCTTGAAGAGGGTCAGAAAGCTGCACGTTTATGTGGGATCAATTTGGTATCGCAGATAAAAGCCTCCCTCGGTGATCTCGACCGTGTCAAAAAAGTGGTAAAAATCAACTGCTTCGTCAACTCGTCCAGTGAATTTACAGGACAGCCTGCAGTTGCCAATGGCTGCTCCGATGTCCTGGTGGATATTTTTGGCGAGGAGGTCGGGAAGCATGCGCGTTGTGCAGTTGGTGTGGCTCAGCTTCCTCTTGGAGCCGCAGTGGAAGTGGATGCTATAGTGGAATTCAACTAAGTTCTTTTTACATTTTTAACCTACTCATTTATAATTATGCTCTATTAGTAGTTATTAATGCTTCTTGTTTCCTAAATGAGAATAGTATTATCGAGTTCATTGATTCGTAGTAATTATCTTCTTGAAAATCTAAGTAATCTACCCGGATAGTGGACGAGGGAAAACAGAGACCATTTTTACTTCACTCCTTATGTATATTACCATTTACCCTCCCTTCATCTGATCTAATCCAGAATTTATAAAGGAAGTCTGCGAGTATCCTTATTTGTTTCAAGGGTCTTGCTTTTGGATCTCAAACCAAAATGATCCGAGAAGACCCTTTTATTTCTGACATATCAGACACTAAGGAGATAATGCCCCAGAATAATGATGCCTTCTACAGTTTTGATGACACTGCACCCAATGACAAAACTGCTGAGAAGTTGTTTGAGCAAAAGAAGCGCTACGACCTAGCTCACCTGAGGGTACGAATGTTCGTCGAGCGTCTGTGGGGTTCCTTGGACCTATACAGCCCAGCAGGGCGCGACAATGCCTCACTCTTTCAAGACTTGTTCTACGGATGGGTTTACCGAACGATAAAAATTGCAGCGAGGGAAAACCTACACGAGGATGTGCTGCCACCCCCAACGTACAAGAGCCGTGCGCGTGTATGTGGTATGAAGCTATCGTCTGCGATTCGAGATGGGATGTATGTGCGGAACGCATGGAGTTGCCTGCTGGGTGCGGAAGTCGTAAGTCGTCTAGACGCTATGAGCAGGGGGACACTGCGATGGGTTGGGGTACCACAGCAGGGCGGCTATACGCGAATGATGGCAGGTGTGGAGTGGAAAGTAGCTCCCGCCGTGCGCCTCGCGCAACAGTCAGCGAACACTGGGGAGTCTCCACTCTTCGACGGCATAGTGCACGGTGAGCATCTTTTCAATCCTACACGGCCACAGATGTCAACATTGGAAGAATGCACCAGCATCGAGCTCATGTTCGCACCGCGCTCAACGGGGTTTGGGAAGACTATCCCCGTGCCAAAGCGGCTAGCCACCTTTAAAAGCATGGTAAAAGTGTTGCCGGAGTTCTTTTGGTGTCAGTTCCCGCTAAAGTTATTCAGCGATATCTTCACTCTGTCTATACCGTTTATTCTGAAAAGCTACATAAAATTTCTGGGGGCAAACGACAAGAACATGTGGATTGTCGGAGCGGCTTTGGTATTTGTTTTTTTTATTGTACAGTTGCTTCGGAGTTGCATGTTGAATCGGTACTATTACTGGAGTATTGAGTGCGGTCTTCAGTATCGCTCAGCCCTGTCTATACTCCTTTTTGAAAAGTGCTTCTTAATTTCGAAAAAGGCAATGTCACATCCTGATGTTAATACAGGCCATATTATAAACCTTGTCAGTACTGATGTTGAAAATGTAAATGTGTTCATACAACACATTATGTATTCGTGGAGCTCACCGTTCCTGTTTATCGCTGCAATCGTGCAAATGAGCTACCTGGTGGGTGCGTGCTGTCTGATGTGTGTCATTGTTTTCTTGGCGTCGATTCCGCTTATGACGTTTTTGACTAAGTGGCAGGTCCAAGTATCTAGGAAGCGTGTACTGGCGACTGACGAACGTGTGAAGGTGACAAATGAGTTTTTTTCTGGAATTCGAGTTGCTAAGTTTGTGACGTGGGAAGCTAAGTTTATTAGTAAAATTGAGGCGAAGCGAGCCACTGAAGTTCGCTACCTAAAGCAACTTCAACTCAATAAAATATTGTCATCCCTTTTGAATACCTCCATCCCAACACTGATGATTGCGAGTGTCTTTGTGATGTATAGTGCGTTGGGAAATCAAATCACACCGACGGTTGCTTTTCCTACGATAGCACTGTTAGGACTTCTGCGTATGCCTTGCATGATGATCCCGTACGTTGTCAATAGCGCGGCCCAATTCATTGTGTCCATGGAACGTATAACAAGGTTCCTTGAGTGCAGCAATGAAGAATTGTCTGCAGTAAAAGACATAGAGGAGTTTTACCAGCAGCCGAGTGAAGGATACAGCATTATGTCGCAACTGGCTGTCGTGCTTGAACACGCAAGCATCACGGCATACATTCCGAGGAAGCTGCCAGAAGTGCCCAGAGTAAAAATGTCGATGCTAAGGAGGTTGGGTCGCCTGGTGTGCAGCGAGTCATTCAGGCCGGCGAGGTGCCACCCCCCGCCTTCAGCGACTCTGGAGAATAGTGAGCCCGCGTCGCCCTTGAGCCCTGAGACCGCTAATGACGCTGCAACGATAAAAAAGTCGTCCCAGCCCAAGGGATACTTTGAGGTTCTGCCGAGAGAGCTGTTACACGACGTGAACCTTCAGGTACCGATGGGCAAGCTGACAGTTGTGTTTGGCTCGACGGGGTGTGGCAAGTCAACGCTGCTGCAGGGTATATTGGGCCAACTCGAAGTGAGCAAGGGGTACGCATGGGCGGTCAAGAATATAGCATACGTCCCACAGCAGCCATGGATAATGAACGCGTCGCTGCGTGAAAATGTATTGTTCTTCGCAGAGGAAACCCCACGCCTTGCGGAGGCAATTCGCGTGTCGCAATTGGTACCAGATATCGAACTCTTGGACAGCGGTCTGGAGACCGAGATCGGTGAAAAGGGTGTCAATCTGAGCGGTGGGCAGAAGGCACGTGTGAGCCTTGCCCGCGCCGTGTACGCCGAACGCGAGATGTATCTTCTGGATGATCCTCTGTCTGCTCTAGATGCTCATGTTAGCGAGAGGGTGTTCACGGAGTGCATTTTGGACCGGCTTGCTGGCAAAACACGCATCCTAACAACCCACCAGTGGCATACGGTAGAGAAAAGTGACCATGTTATTGTGCTGGAGGATCGGCGTGTGGCGTTCTCCGGGGAGCGTGCCGAGTTTATGGAGTCTGAGATGTACCGCAGAATCGTCACACGAAGTGTCGAGGAAGACAAGAAAAATCACAAGAAGGAAATGAGTAGAAAGGATCAGGTGTCAGAAGAGAATGTCATGAATGGCGTCATAGATGCTGCACCTAATGACCATGCCGATCGTCAATCCAGTAAGGTGGATGCTGACAGAGGACGTCTTGTAACAGAAGAAGAGAAATCAAAGGGTTCCGTTTACTGGAGGACATACATGGAGTACGCCTTTTTTTGTGGTGGCAAGCATTTTGTGAGCCTTATAATTGTGATGTTTGTAATAACTGAGATCCTCAACGTATCGGCTTCTGTGTGGTTGTCTTTCTGGTCAACGAACCACTTTCATATGGAGCAGTCATCTTACCTTGCTTTATATATTGTATTCATTATTCTTGGGCTAGGAGTTACTCCGTTGCGCTTCACCATGATCTTTAACGCCGCGCGCCACGGCTCGATTAATATGCATCGAGCAATGTTACGAGGACTGTCGATATGTACAATGGGCTTTTTTGACAGCACACCACTTGGTCGCATTCTCAACAGATTTTCTCGTGATGTCGATGTGATCGACAACGAACTTCCATTTTCAATGGTTACGGCCTGGCATACGGTATTCACCATCGCTTCATCTGCGCTTATCACTTCTGTAGCTCAACCTGCTCCTTTTCACTTTGGCTTATTTTTCCAGTCCAAGAAGGTATTTTTACATATTATTGCTTTTTTTTGTATTTGTGAAACAAAGGCAGCATTAGTTTGTGTACATACACATACAATAAAAAAAAAAGCGAGTAGTGTATACTTTAACATTTCCTTCATTACTTTTTGAGCACCATCGTTTATTTCTGATTTGGGTAGGGCACAAAAATGCGTCGTTTAATTACTACCTTAGTCCTTTTTGGGCTTGAGAGCTCTGTCCGTGGAATCGCAACGCGTGGTATTCCATATTCTCCCTCAGGGACTATTCAGGATTATACTTCATCACCACGTCATTTGTCGTTGGCAGAGATGCAGTATAATTTTGATCGCCATCTTGGACGGAAGACTAATGGGCTCTATGATGGGTCCACATTCGTCCCTGGTGTTGGTGCCCACCCAGTAGATCGCTTTCCGTTCTACTATCCCTCGCCCAACGCTCAGCAAAATAAGGCTGCGCCTCCTCACAAAGCCCTCGAGGATCTCCTTCCCGAATTGGGTAGTGGCTATACGGCGGATCTTCGGACGGATCAAGCGTTTGCTGATCTCCCCGAGCATATTAGAGCAGCTAAACAAAGCATCCTGATGGCGCAAAGCGACAGCTCTGGACAAGTTCCGCGCGGGCTGATTCCACCACCGCCACCTCCTGATCATAAAGCAATTCCCAAGGCCTACCAAGCCCCTCGTGTTCATCTTTCAGGACTTTGGTGGCTGCTTATGTGCCTTTTTATTTGCATATTTTCTATCTTGGGAAGGTATGGTGTCTAAACGTGAAAATAAGGGAAAATATTATTATCGATAGTCAGTCGTACCTTTCCTTACTGTGGCCTTTATACTATAAAGAAAAGGTCTTTTTCTACTGCCTTATCAATATTTAAAGAACTCGGTCACGTCCTAAAGGGCCCCAGTTTTTTTTTTAACTTTCTGTCTCCTGCTTCTTTTTTCTTAATGCGCTTTTCTTAGCCTTTCTGAAACTCGCCCATGATCAATCGCATTCTTTGATATGTATTCAAATCCGAGTTCGCTTCCCTTTGTGGGACTCTTTATTTTACGAGCCATATACTTCCCTTTTACTGCTTTTTCTGGTTATTCCCTTTTGTTTTACATTTTTACAGGTGTACGGATACAGTTTGGATGCAAACGAGTATAGTAATACAGACCCACTTGCATATCGGAAGTGCTTTCTGAAGTAAAATAAAGAACTCTACTGATATCGGTAGCGGCAGATTAAAATAGGAACTATGCCTTGTCGTCTAAGCCGCTTAAATTAGAACTTTTCAAACTCGTTGCTATGGGGGCAATTTTCGCTTTTTTTTTTGTTGATGAATGAAGCTTTTAAATTTGTATTCATACTATGTATTATTTCTTTAGAGGGAAACAACTTCTACTTTTTTGTTCTTGTTAAAGTATATACTAATCGATTCGATAAGGTTACACACACATATTGCCGAAGAAAATAAAGGCTAATAATAGTTTTAACGGTCTATTGTTTTTTTTTCATACACGTTTATTTACCTGGATTTATGGCTACCGCAGGGTCTGGAAACGAGACATATATCGAGACGAGTCATGAAGCTCTCTCCACACTGGACGAGCCAGTCTCCCAAACGCTGCTTCGTGATGCCAAAGCGATATGGCGCAAACTGGTTGTGGTTGTGTGCCCGCCTTTGAGCAATGATCGTGAACTCCGGGATTGGGATCTGTGGGGCCCGCTCATTCTCTGTCTCATTCTGGCCATTATCTTAGCCACCTCAGCCCCCCCCAATATGACAGGGCTCGTTTTTTCCGCCGTCTTTGTTTTAGTCTGGGTTGGTTCCGCCGTTGTGACACTCAATGCGAAGTTTCTCGGTAGCACGATATCCTTCTTTCAGACGGTCTGTGTCATGGGGTACTGCATTGCACCGATCTGCTTTGGCGCCCTGATTGACCTTTTTATCCCATTCTTTTGGCTGAAGCTTATGTTCTCGGGTGTGGTGTGGGCCTGGGCATGCTGGGCCTCCCTCCGCTTTTTTAGGGGCACCACCAAAGCCGAGAAGGAAATGCTCGTCATCTACCCAGTGGCCCTCTTCTACCTTTTTATGACATGGATGGTACTGGTGGGTGTATAGTGGAAAATAAAATACATTCACATGAATAGTGGATGTATTGCATACTTTTTATTGCGGCGGTTTTTTTAATTTTGAAATAGAATACCTTCCAGGAAACGTGCTCATCTTGCCTTTTAGAAATGTTATGGGTGCCCCTTTTTTCGTTTTTCGAAGCAAAATTTATGAAGTTAGTCCTAATAAACGTGAAGGTTGATTGTTTCCTGAGTTTTAAAAATTTATTCTCATTTTTCAGATTGCATGTGCTTTTTTCCCCTTTCGTAGAGCGATAAGGATCTGATTTCTTTGTAGGAAACAAGTGAAAAGATGATGTCGATAAGAAAAATTTCTTAACAGAAATGACTCGCCCACCGTATTATTACCTAAGAACGAATTAACTTCGTGAAATTTATGAAACTGAGTGATCAAGGGATTAGTGTTAACTCTTTAGGGAGCGCAGGTCTAAAATAGATCTTGTATGAATCTATCCTTTATCTGAATTTCTTTTTTCTAAGTCGAAAAGCATAGAGGAGGGATCACAGGAAGAAGGGGAAGAAACCGATCGCTTTTTATTTGGATCATATTCAATGGAAAAAAAAACAGGGAATGAACTTCCGCTGGTTTACCTGTCTTCCCTAGCATGTCAGCTTTAAGAATATCATCATCTCAATTATATGGAACAATCTGAAGAATTCAGGTTTGCCTATGCACATAATGTGCAAAAGTACGATCTTTTTCTCTATAAAGATAAGTAAATGACGATTTCACGTGAATTTTATAGGATCTATTTTTTGCACACAACATATCAAAGCCACTTGATTTGCATTTTCGGACCGTGTGAACACAAGGTATGAGTATCAGAATAACTTTGCCAAGACAGAAAAGTACATTACTATTACTTCATGCGAATAAAAATTGTCTATATGAAATATTTCACACAAATTGACGCTTGTAGTTTATTTTAAATAGTTTTGAAGCATTGAATGCTAAAATTCATTGAGTGATGAAGAGGAGTAAAAAGGAAACGCGCCGATGCAATCATGTCTCGACAAAATAACTTTGCAAAAAGCATGACATTCTTGTTTATTTATTTATTGCAGTCATATTTTTTAATGTTTTACTGCTATAATTAGGTGATTTTTCTTCGAAAGAACGAAAGTTACAAATCTTGGTCTTTATTCTCAAAATTCTTTATAACATCACTCAGGATTTGAGTCACGTTTTGTATTCAATAATACTGACAACGGATACTGTGAATTCATCAGGTATATACAATGAACGCTTTCATAACGTAAAGGTCAATTAATTTATTGCAGAGTACTGTTTTGTTTGTTTCTTATATCACCATCTCGCGTATGTTCTCTGTAAACATTTTTGATCATACTTTGATAAGACAAAGATGATGAATAAGGCACCGGTGGCTATCATCACGGGCAGCTCAAAACGAATTGGAAAATCAATCGCCATTCGTCTGCATGATGACAACTTTAACGTATGTCTGCACTACTGCAACTCTCGCGAAGCGTCTGAGACACTTATGAACACGCTCAACTCACGACGCCCAGACAGCGCGGCGATATTCAAGGCTGACTTTAGTGGTGGGATGAACTCCCCCAGCGAAGTGAGCCTTGCTAAACGTTGCGCTCGCCTCATCGATTTTTGCTACTCCACTTTTGGACGATGCGATGTGTTGGTGAATAACGCTTCGGCGTTCTATCCAACACCGCTCCTGGGCGACCTTTCCTCGGTGGTAGGGAAAGACATCTATGAAACCGATCGTATCGAGAACGACATTCTGGATATTTTTGGCTCCAACGCACTTGCCCCTTTGTGCTTGATCCGGTGTTTTGCTCGGAAGGTCCAATCGATTGAGGACGAGCTCCAGTCCGATTCACCAACCCACCGATGTGTGGTGAACCTATTGGACTCTATGATAAGCACCCCATTGGAAGGGTATAGCCTTTACACCATGGGCAAGTACGCAATGGATGGACTCACCAAGGCGGCTGCGCTAGAGCTATCCAAACTAAATATCCGTGTAAATGGGGTTGCTCCAGGTTTGTGTGTGATGCCACCGGGGATGTCCAAGGAAAAGCAAGAGGCAGAACGCGGTAAAGTGCCCCTCGGCCAACGAGAGGCCTCTGCGGAGGAAATTGCTGCCGCAGTGTCCTTTATGGTTTCCTCTGAATCACAGTACATCACTGGATCTGTTCTTAATGTGGATGGTGGGATCAGTATTAAGCGTGCTTAATATATCGTTAATCGGCATCTTTAATAGAAACACTTTTCTTTTCGTTTTTCAAATTAGATCCAATGCACAATAACCTACTTTAAGTTTTTCATGGTAAAGAGGTCGTGATCAGGCTAAACTTACCTTACTTGGGAGTTTCTGAGCTTTATTTATTTGGTGCCATTGAAGGCTATTGTTGGGTTCATGTAATATTCCATCCCAGAGTTGACTCTCCATAGTATTTGTTTACTTCAATTTTTTGTCTCCATGAGAAATCTATTTCCTAAATAGAAAATAACAAGACATCATTTCACTAATCATTAGGGTGGAAATGCTGCAAGTCCCAGTAGTTCCGGATATTCGTCTGGGGTCCGACTCCAATGGAAACGGTACTTATGTACATATCCCCAGTGTAGTTCATGCCTTAGAGCTCTACCCCATCGGATCGAGACGTCAGAAAACAAGATGTGAGTCTAGCCGCCAGGATCAGCTACCATTCCTCGATACCAAGGACGATGGGATAAAATCTCATGAAGCATCTATTTCAACAAAATGTGAATGCCGGCAAACAGAGGATACTGATTCGACAAATTCCTTAGTAACCCCTTCCTATGTCTCGAGCACTGCCCAGCTTCAGGCTCGCGTAAAGGCAAAATTGGGGCAGCATCTTTTTGGTGCACTAAAACAACGCCTACAAAGCAGACAAATGATGTTTGTAGCGTCGGTGCCATCCCGTGAACCTGTGCGCAACGCCACAGGGGAGCTCAAGTCCGCCACCCACTCAACGCAAAACTCATCTCTCCGTGAAGCAAGCAGATGCTCCAGAATCACCACATCGGATAAAATACCTAGTATTAGACAGAGAGAAAAATCGAGGCGCCATCCAAATAAGGCGTCTGCGTTTCCACAATTAGGTATGCATAATCTCATGAGCTCTATGCCAACTGCTACGCAGTGCTCATGGAAACCTGAGATGATGATCATGAATATGGCCAAGGATACTTCCTCGCATGATCACTCATCGCTTACAACGAATGGTATGCGTATTCGAAAGTGTCATGAAAACGGATCATCCATGTGGGAGGAAGACCAGACCTCGAAGATTGAACTCGTTCGTATTAATCGCTTAAAGGCCATTCCAAACCACAACCGTGGCATTTTTTCTGGTCTGAAGCAATTTTTAACGCGCAGCGGGCTTTTCATTGTGGGATTGACGCGAGGGCCAGATGGTCAGCGCATTCATCCTAGGGCCTGGCATCTCTTCTGCGGCTCAAGGGATACGAAGGAAATACCAAGGGGGGATGGAGTCGATTCCGAAAACACAATGGTTAGCAACCGAAAGACTATAGACTACTTGTCCTCCAGTGATGCCCATAGTGTGTCGGATTTTCGTCGTGAGAACTTGAGGCGGTTTAGTGATGTTTGTCGGAAAAGCATCTTTCGGGGGATCCTCACCGAGGAAGAGCGGGATGAGGCCTCTCGTCGTCTCAAAACCCTTCGCGAAAGGGCACTGGAAACGGTGGTGACGTCCGTGAAGAGCCAGGCAGCCGAAGAAGAGGAGGCGAGGCAGCTGTCCCGTGAAGGTACCCCTTTGGGCGGGATGGTCTCTAATGCTTTTCGTCTACCCGGGACGGATGATGTTCTACTGTTGCCAGGTCTCATGCCAAAGTATGTGCCATGCGAAAAAGAGGTCGAAAGTATCACCCCCAACTCCCATTTCCTTTTGTCTGAAACAAACACGGACGAGCGTTTATGGAGTTCTGATCTGGAGGTGCTAAATCGGACTCACACACTCCGGCCCTCGTCGCATTCCGTGTATGGTTTTCCGTTCAAAAACGCACGCGACTCTACCACCACAGTATCTTTGCTGGATCAAACCGTCTTTACGCGAGAGTCCGAGGATCTCCAACCTCCGAGCAATCGGTCGCACCGTGTGTCGTTGGTGGACCCCATTCCAGAGGGAGGGGACTCAGGGGGGGACTCCAGTCCTGACCCCTCCGGCCTTTTTGTGTCAACGGGGGAGGCCCCTCGCAAGGCCTTTTGCAAGACCCCGAAGAGGCCCCTCTCTCCCCTCTCCCTATCAAAGGAGACGAACAGGGGCCCCCTTGGCACCCCCACGGACGGCCCTGTTACACTGCCGAACTTGGTCTCAAGTCCCGGCAGGAAGGTTGCCACCCCGGACAAGGCCGACCGTGATCGGGATCATCTCTCGAGAAAACTGGAATTATCCTACAATGAGGCCGTGTTGCCGATACCCGGTAATACGGACGTCGCGACCTTGAGTGGGAATCAGCTAAACATTACCGAGGCGGGTATTCAGACGGCTTCGCGGCGACGCCGAAGAAGCCGCAAACAAAAATCGGTAAAACCACACATGATCAGCGATTATGAGAAGCTGTATAACGAGTCTCAGGTAAACATGTTTAGTACTAACCTTCCCCAGGCAATGGAACACATACAAATGCGTAAGGCAGCTACGCGTATTCTAGACGATCTCGATTTTGACGGCGAGTCATTTCTCGGTCTCGCAAAATTTTCGGATTATGTTGTCTGTGACTCGGAGTCCGACGGATCGCGTGGGTACAACAAAAATATGTTGGACAACTTAACCTCTCCCAGGAGTTGGGATACTCAGGGACAGAAAGAGGTTCAAGAACTGGAGGTGAATGTGGACCAACTACAGGATCGAATCGATACGGAAGTCGAGGAGGACTTAGCTGATCTGATTGCAAAGCGGAATCAGCTCAAGGCAGAGGTCGAGGAACAACAGCAGCTCATAGACGCTTTTCAGGTGGATCTTCAAAACCTATCAAATGAACGGTGGGGCACTGAGGGTGATGCGTTTGCGATCCAGCTTACTGCGGAAGTTAATCAATATGCTATGGAGCATCGTCAACAGCTTCAAGGACTTTTTCAAGAACTTTCGAATGACGATGACATATGCATAAGTGGTATAACCGACAGTATGCTAAGTCAGTTTGTTAGGGGGAAAGCTGATATGATCAGTGTGGGTACTCAAGTAATGGATTCTGATCTAGGATTCGTCGATGATGAGTTGAGGGAAACGATTGAGCAGATGGATGAAATGTTTTATCATGAAAAAGCCTTGCGCAGTGCCATTGATCTCACCCATGTGGCACTATCGAAGGTTATCAGTTTCCATGCCTCGCTGGAGCTAGAGTCAACCTGTAAGGAGTGTTTTTATCTGTTTGAGCAACCACGAACTTTATGGCCGTGCGGCCACACCTTTTGTCAGCTTTGCTTGTCAGAGATGTACAATAAAAGTGGCGAGTTGGTGTGCAGTGAATGTGGTTCTGTCTGCATTTTAGGTTACACACCAAACCTATCAATAGAGCTAATTGCGAGCTATCAGGTACTGCAAGATGCCAAGAATAAATCATCCTCTGATGGAAAGACTATTGAGAATACATTACAAGGTTTATTGAACTATTTACTATCATCTCGGGAAAGTTTTGCGACTGCTCCTGGAGCTCTTACGCGGTAGTTTTTCCTGCTGTTCTTATTTTTGATTGTTTTGTTGCTGTTGTAAATTATGTACATATCTCTATAATAGGCTTTATTATTATTATTACAAACAAATATGTGCAATGATAATGCATTAGATGAATTTATGCACAGAAAAAGTATTGATCCTCTCGTCATATTATTGAGATGCATGCATTTATATAGAAGAGAGTGAGGTAAATAAGTCAATTACATCATTGATTTGATTGTTGTTACTGGTTTAGTGATAGTTGAGTGTCTGAACGAGTTTTCGATAGTGGTATGTTGGCACTGTCATTGATTTTCTTCTTTCTCACCAAACACCGACGAGGTCATCATAACATGAGGTCAGAATTGTAGATCACATCGTAAATATTGACGTAACCTATATAGAAATATAGATTCATAGATGAAGTTTAAGGCATCTCTTCAGGATCCCCACATGCTTCTCCGGGTTTTGCAGGTATGCTGCAGGATCCAGCGTGGGTGTTTAATTCAACTACACTCGACCCGCACGCGCTTCTTCACCAAGGTTGGCACTGTTGATGGTGTGCAGGTGTGGGTGGGATGTCATACGAAGAGCCTCTTTAGTGACTTTCGCTGTGATTCTCATGACGAAGAACAGTCTATTACATTTGAGGTGTTAGATATTAGCCAGTTTATTCATTCCATTAAACAGGCTGGTATGCGTCCACGCTGGAGTGCTGAAGCAAAACCACTAGTAATGCGCCTGGGGCGCAGCGGCAAACGACCTGTCCTAAAGCTCACTATGCAAGGTCACCAAGGTTTACCAGATCTCAGTTATGACAACCCTATCCGCATTTTCAGTAAGCGCGAAATTGAAGGCATGCGAACCCCTTCACTCGGGGACGAACGACTACAGGTTGTTATTCCTAATGTTGTTGAGCTTACCACCTTTGTTGAGAGGCTCAAAAATGCACAATGTGAGCATGTGACCTTCTCGGCGCAAAGACATACGCCATCTGTGGATGCTCTCCACTCCAGCGTGCTGAACAGTAAAACGCGAAATAGTCAGAACGGTCGCGTTTCCAACGGTGCTGCACTTGCGCCTCCCCACGCAACGTTGATGATTTCTGCTGGGAACTTTTTTGCCAACTTTGCATTGTCATACGATGCAGTAGAAATGATCCCTCGGAAAGACTCCGACACCGATAATGCCCAGAATGACGAAAATGACTCTGAAGAGGAGAATATAGAGGAACCTCATGCGGTGGTTGTGATGGTTGGTGTGAAAAAGTTTGCCAGATTTTTCTCATCTGTACGTGATATCGATCCAACGCGAACGAGCGTGTATTTGGTTCATAATGCAGCTCTTGTATTGAGTGTATACACGTCGAACGGCACCACAATGGTAGCGTATATCCCCGCCTCAGGTTGACGACAAACCTCTGCTCGCTCATTTTATTTTTTACTCTTCACATATTTACTGAAAAATGCCCTCCCAACAGCGAGTAGTCTCTTTTAGAAGGATACCATGAAGCATTATTGTCATTGATATCATACATTCATTCTTTTCAGAGTTTATGGTTCCACGTGTGATGCGCTTCGGAGATCATGGTGAATTCGACTGTAGTAAGGGAGATGTGCTAAGCGAATGATTGTCCATTCCCCTTCACGAAGGGACGATTAAAAATACATACAAAAAAAAAGTATAAGAGTTAACGCAACCTACAGATATCGTCATCATTTTTATCTTTTGATTACTACTCATCCTATTATTATTTTATTTGGTGCAAATCTGAATTTAAGTCTCAACACTGTCTCTTGTCTGGCTTGTATTTGTCACCGTACACATATTTTTTTTTCCTTGTGTAAAAAAAGGAAGTGAATGTTTACACCCAACCAAAGAAGGGTGAACGCCAATCAATGCGTCGTCTTGTTGGTTTAGGAAACGTGCCTAGGAGGGTCTTTCTGTCCTCATTGTTGAGATTTACTCATGGGTACAGTCTTCACGAGGCCGGAACAACCCAGAAACCGCTTCCAATGTCAACTTGCGAAGAAACTATACCATTGCAAGGTGAAGATTCCAACTTGGATGTTATAACGCCATGGTCGGTATCTGCAAAGGGCTCACAGGGCATCGACTACAGTCGTGTTTTAACTCATTTTAAGACACAAAAAGTTGACGAAACGGTGATAGACAGACTTCTTGAAGTAATCCAAAAGAACATTAAGCGCACGCATAGAGAAGGTACAACGTATCCTCAGGTTCATCATTTCTTTTCAAGACAGGTGGCCTTTTCGCATCGCGACTTTGATCAAGTGCTATGTGAACTCGAAAAGTCGTTCCTGACGGGGCAGCAGCGCGTTTTCCTTTACACGGGGCGAGGCCCTAGTTCTAAGAGCATCCATCTTGGTCATTTTATCCCCTTTCTACTCACCAAATATCTACAGGATGCGCTGAACCTACCCTTAGTCATACAAATCACGGATGATGAGAAATATTTATTTCGTGATGTTCCGTTCACAGGGGATGCGGCAGATAATATGATATCCGGAAACATCAAAGACATCATTGCGTTTGGGTTTAATCCGAAACGCACTTTTATCTTCCGTAACACGCACTATTTTGGCGACTTGTACCCGACCGTCCTGAGGTTGCAAAAGGCAATGACCTTCAACGCTGTGATGCACACGCTAGGGATCAAAGATGAGACAAATATTGGCCGAATTGCCTTTCCCGCCACGCAGGCAGCGCCGTGCTTTGCCTCGGCGTTTCCTCGCGTTCTCCCGCAGACGGGGACGGCGATGCGGTGTCTGATCCCCTGCGCGGTTGATCAGGATCCCTTTTTTATACTCGCACGGTCGGCGGCCTCTCGGATTGCGCACCCCCCTCCCGCCCTTCTCCACACGAAATTCCTGCCCGCGCTCAGGGGCCCCTGCCAAAAGATGAGCAGCAGCGATCCGAAAAGCGGCATTATCAGCGCGCACGACAGCGACGGGGAAATCCAAATGAAGCTGCGCAAGGCCTTTTCAGGCGGCAAAGCGACACTGGCTGAGATGCGAGAACACGGCGCGGATCTCGAGATGGACATGGCTTATCAAATGTTAAAGTTCTTCTGCCACAACAACGATCTGTTCCAAGACATCACTACGCGTTATCGCGCGGGGAGGATGGATAGTGGTGAAGTTAAGAATTTAGCAGCGAACTTTCTGATTAACGAAGTGCTGACCGACTGGCGTGCGCATCGAGCAAAGGTGACGGATGATGATGTGGACGAGTTTTGTGCAGTACGAAACATACTTGTGTAAGGTCTTTAGGCGTTAGTAAGAAAAAAACAAACAAAGAAAAGGGGGGAGGAGGGAAGGATGAGGTGCGCTGCAACTATTCACTCTCTAATTTGGCAAAGACTCTACAGAATGATACTCATTCAACATGTTTCCCACATTGTTCCTATTCAAGGGAGAAAGGTAAATAAATGAACTATATTCTTTAATTGAGTGAAAATGACTCATAAATAATTTTAAAGATCAAGTTGTTTCCCCTTAAATATACATATCCTATTATCATCTTTTTTGTTCCTTATTTTTTGTAGAACTAAACATTCAATAAAATAGTCTTTAGAACCTTCAAGAGGCACTTTCTTGTGTATACTTCTCCAGACTGAAAAAAAAGTATAGGTGTATACGTAGGACTCAAATATAGGGTCTTTTCAATAAAGTATTTTCTGTTCAAGTGCCCTCTTGTAAACGTTATATATATATTATTTACATTTTTTATGATCATTGTATGCACTCTACTTCTTATTTATTCCCCTGCATACTTCATTATCATGGACCGACACCATTTTCACAATACTCAGGGAAAAAGCGAGGACACCACAGTCAATCCACCCGACCTAAAATTGCATAACTCGTGGCAACAGCAGCAGAAGCAAGCTATACCTACCAATTTTCATTCATTATGTTCCTTTGCTGTCAACGGCTCCGATCCTGCAGCACCCAAAAGGTCTACAGATGCTTATAAATGCCACCCATCACAACCCCCTAGATATGTGAATAGTATGAACTCCAATAACCACTCCTTATATTCATCCCCCACCCCCCTCCTGGGTGCCAGAGACTTATTCTCTGAAACCTTTTCCTCTTTGCTCTCTCATGGCGGTATCGACACCAGTCTGAATGAGGTGCCCAAGTTCAGTAATCATAGCAGCTTCTCACTATCCTTCCGGGGTGATAAGTGTATTAAGGAAACCACCAATCGTGTGGTGATTGGGGGAAATCGGTTTGTGATTGTGTCCTATGCGATCTCCGGACATTGTGACGCGGTTTATCGACGGAGCCGGAAGATTTGGGAGCGCATTCCGCTCGGGCTGGTTCATGTTTTTCGGTCCCTCTCCCAGCCTCCCTCCGAGGTTTCCTCGAGCCCATCGCCGTCCCCGGTAGGACGCCCCGGCTTGCGCGGGAAGGGCCATGGGGGGCCTGAGAGTAATGGCAATCCCGTTACTGGGTCCCCTCCCAGCCCTGGCAGAAACGGTCCCTTCTATCACTCGTCCCCCTCCCTCCTGCCGGTGGCGGCGCTGAATGGGATGCGACGGTTCGGCGACTGGAATGACGCCGTCGCGTACGGCTACAGCGTCAACAAGGCGGCCCCGCTGGCCGCCATCGCGATAGAGAAGATCGACGGGGAGGGGGGGATGTTGACGGCCTTTAGCGTGGACAAAACTCGCTATTGGGTAATAGGGTGCCGCAGCACATACCTCATACTTCGCATCGACTCCATCGAGGATATGCAGCTCTACGACGACGATTCCTCTGTGAGATTGGCCACCAGTCCTAGTGGTTCATTGCCGGGGCGCTCGAACGGGGCCTTAGCTAAGCGCATGGCCCTGCTGTGGTATCGACTTTTGAAGGAACATCTAAGTCCCGATAGGGTGGAGCAACTTCACCAGGAATTATCTAGTCGACAGTGGACTTGTTGTTTCGACGCGGTCGTTGTCGGGTGGGAAAACACAGTGAACCTTGGTATGAGTTCGGTTCAAGGCACCCAAGGAGTCGATAAACCAAACAGGGCCGCTGCCCATGGCAACTATTCACAGGCAAATGGACGACTTAACGTCAATTCTTGTGCTAGGGGTGTCACAGGTCATGTGGTTCAAACAGGCCACGAAGTCCCTAATGGTTTACCGGGTAGCGGGGGTGATATGGAAGGATTTCTCGTTTTCTATGCGGCCACAGTTTGTGATGTGTTGGAGAAAGGGCTGTGTGTGCCGGTCCTTGATGCAATGGACTTTTTCCAAAGGTATCATCTGCCCACTGCATCGTACTACGGTCCATTTGAAATGAATTCACCAGAGTACGATACTTACAGAGCTCAGGTGAGCGGCCAGATCAACAGTGTGGGGGCTGTGTTATATGGAACCAATGAGCTCGGTGTTGTGGTGCGGATATGGAAGTGCCGTTCCTACCCACATATAATGGAGCGAGTTGCTCAAGAATTAATCGTCACAAACCAATTGCAAGACGCTGAGCTTTTGGCAAAGATCGAAAAAAAACTTAGTGGCTTACCAAAAGGTACCCGTGTATATACTATTCAGTGGAAAAAACAACGTGTTCCTTTCTTAGTGAAGTTTGCAGCCTGGTTGCACCAAACTATGCGACTTACACCCTCAACAAACCTCAGCGCGCTACGGGAACTGCGCTCGTACTGGATTACAACCCAGAATATATACCAAAAAGAGGCAGCCTGCAAACAAGTCGACGGTGAACCGACGATGGAGGGGGTCTTTCCTTCTGAAGAAGCCACAGTAAACAACGGCAATGTACCGCATCTACCGGATGTTTTGATGCTTGTTGGGCCTCAGGGAAGCGGCAAGTCCACATTGGCGCGTGCCCTCTTTGCGCTTCTCGAACAATCAGGCTTTTTACCACTATGGGTAAATCAGGACGAGGCGTCTGGTCGGTGCGGCTATCTCGCTGCTATTCGCCGAGGTGTGTCGGGGAGTTGTTATACACACATTATCTTGGATAAGATGAACATTAGCAATCTCTCAAGACTTGACTACGTGCCCATGAAGCTCAACTTAGTTTTGACCGTCGCGTGGACACACTCAGAGGGCATTGAGGCGTTGGCGGAGTTGTGTTTCGAGCGCGTTAAAAGACGCGGCTCAAACCACCGAACATTTGGAATTGTTCATGACCCTCGCCATCCTAACGGCCATTCCTTGGGGGTAGATCTGAAAGCTCAGCTTCAACGTGTTCGTGGCATTATTCACTCGTGCGCTAAGCAATACGATCTTCCTGTGGGTGATCCGACTCTTCTTGAGGTCGATGCCACTCTAAACTGCAATACTATCGTACGTCAAGTCTGGTTGAAGCTTCAAGAACGTGGACATCACAACCTTCCTAATTTATCCAATTATAATATAGCCAATGCACTGAGAGTGTCCGTAGGCTATGAACGCCTAATAACGCAATATCCGTATCATGTAGCAGCCGTAGTTTTGAAATCTGAAGACGATGCGGCACTGCACGGACTGGTTCCCCCGGGTTTGCTAAAATATGGCAAATGTAAAGTAAAGCTCGACTCTGCGCAGATTCGTCTCCACGACTTCATAGTGAATCCAAGTCCAACAGTCTTCGTGCGATACTCTTCACTTATCGGAAAAATGGTGGTTTTAAGGGTAACAGCGATTGTGGCAGATCAAAGGGCTACACTGCTGTGCTTTAGCAAACATAGTGCGGGAAATGGTTCGTCGGGCCCGTCCTGGCCCATGCCAAAGAGGGACTTTGTGAATTCAGCCCATATTAGCACTTTAGGAAACTCTTCAAGGCATTCCACTCATGGTGCAGAGGCGGATAGACACAGTAACATAAGGATGGGTGAAACTTCATTACCAGTTATAGCTGTGCTTTCAAAGGCTAAAACGATAAACCACCAGTATTGTGTGGACCTGATCCAGCGTGTGTTAAACTCAAACAAGCCGGACCCATGCTGCATTATGTTGCCTTTACAGGAACAATTTCAGGCTACCTTTACATATCAATTTGTAGCTAAAAGCTAATGACCGTAACACAACAAATAAAAGGAGGGGATAAAGAGAGCTATTCCATTAGCTACTCACTATATATATATTTATTACCACCACACACAGTCATTGCATTTGTTATTGCAAACACAGGTATTTCTTAGTGCCACCTATGATACCAAGCTTACATTAAAGAAATACAGAACTAGACCAATGTGCAGTACTTTCATATACTTCAATAAACAAAAAATCCGTTCACTTTTGCATGCTACGAGGATTCAGTTCTCAAGAGTTTGTGTGTGTGGAGGGGGGAGGGGAGACGGGGAGAGACCAAGTGTGTTCAAGCTTCTTCCTGATGAGTTGGGTTGAGGGACAATGCCTACTACAGCCAGATCTGGGGCAGAGTTTAAGAACAGGTATGTAGTTTGGTTTACCTAACAAGCGGGCTTGATTCATCCCCCACCTGGGCTGGAACTGTGAGGGCTGTTGTACGCAGCGATATCTCCCACAGGAATAAAATAAAGTATTTTCCTATAGACTCCACCGGGGAAACATCTTAAAGAGGCGAATATAGCAACCTGTTTTGTTTGCTAGACAAATGGTTTAAGTACCTTCTGCACAAACTTTGCAACTTTCCCTCAAATATGGCGACTTATGAAACTCGATAGTTTCAGTAGATTGTGGATTAAACAATTATACCACTTTTGACCTGTGAGGTGTGGCTCTCTCGCAAGAGAACCTCTGTTCAGGACTTCTTCAACAGTGGTGGTTGTAAGCAATGTGGTTCCACCGATACTTGCGAAGAAAGTTACCCTATAAACATTAGAATTTAGCCGTGATTCTGTTTGTCTGCTACATTAGTTTGATTATAGGTGCTCGTTTTTTATGAATTTTCCGTGCGATCCTGTTGTAAATTTAGCTAATTGATAGCAACAACTATGTATGGTATATTTACTCCTTTGCTCTCTTAGATACTATATGTTCGTTTAGGCTTGCCTAGTTTGTTGTTTTATCATTGGGGTTTTTATCTTTGCGTATCTAAAAGGTAACCTCAACCCTTCCACTCTGTCTTGAATGGACTTCGCTGCTCCATTATACGAGGGTTCTTCGAATTTAGAATCCGCACGACGAAGACAAAAACTCCGGCACGGTCAGTTTCCCGATGTGAGGCGATCCCGTGAGTGTCCTTGCGCAATTCGCCTGTATGAGTTTCAGGAAACGCAAGATGTATTTTCACGATTACACGTCGCCGCGGCAGTGTTGGGTGTTCCGCCGGCGATTCCACCCGAAACGGTGGCTTTCGCCCCCGAAACGAATGACTTGGCGGTGGGGAGCAAAGGAGTGGATGGAGGAGCATTCACATCGAACGCGTTTGGTATTGCACCCCGGACCCCCCACAAAGTTACCGAGCCTACGGTGTGCAGTTCCGTTGTCGTGGTCATGGCTTGGGCGGACACAACGTTGCTGGAACTTGCTTTGCCTGCGCTCGAAGCCGTTCGCGAAGATGTCGACGCCTTGGCACTTGAGAAAAAAAACAAATAAGTCCCTATCACGGATCTTCACAGGAAAATACTTCTGGCATGGGCGCCTCAGAAACGGCCCTGAGGGTGGGCTCAGGTAACTTTACAACTGTAAGCTACACCAGAGCACACGGACGATGGGGTAATCACAATACCAAACCCCATTATAGAGTGGAGTTAAGCTCGGGTTTGATAAATAGTGAAGGGCTGGCCACCCTGGCTCCGCTTGGGAAAGTCGATTTCTGGCCGGTGCTAGACGACCATCCGTCGCTCCTTTACCCAACTCGACAGGTAGAAGGGGTACACCATGACACCGCGCTCGCGGAGACAGGATATTGCTTAGGAAACCCTGTTTTTTTTATTTGTACACGACAGGACTAATCGATGGGGCTGTTCCATTATTATTATTATTCACATTAAAAGAAAAAACAAGAAACCCGTGAATACCCTAAAATGTCATTGCTCCTCACTAAAAACAGTAAAATTGAATACCTATATCTTACGACGTGTTTTTTTTCCCGTGACAAATAACTCTATGCTCGCGCTTGATTTTATTATGTTTCCCTTTTCCCTTCATGATCGCCCAACTCTCTGGCTTCAGCTTTTCAGTAAACTCTAATAAATATCCCACTAAGGGCTCTGTTCTTCATTGTGGTTATTTTTTTCCCGAATTGTTACAACGTGTCATCAGCCTCTGTTGACATGCCCTTGATTGAAGTTCAAAACCCGAACGTGACATACCGGGACGACTGCATCGAGTCTCGTTGTGTCTATCACAGCAACCGCGTCCGTAAAGGCTCCGACGGCACCATCCGAGTCGAGACCATCGACCGGGTTTTGACGTTCCGCACGAGGCGCGATGTTCCCCGCGTGGGGGCGATGCTCGTCGGGTGGGGTGGAAATAACGGCTCGACCCTCACCGCGGGGATTCTCGCGAACCGGCTCAAGCTGACCTGGCGGACCCGTCGTGGAGTGCAACCCGCGAATTACTACGGCAGTCTAACGCAATCCAGCACCCTCAACCTCGGCCTAACGCGCGAGATGGAGGAGATTTTCGTCCCGCTGCGGGATCTCGTTCCGATGATTTCCCCGGACG